TCTGTCAGAACAGGAACATGAGAAGTTAAAGACGATGGGATACAGAAATACTTTCCATAGCAGCATTAGCATTCCAGCTCATTTAAAAAGAGCCGTAAAAGAGAAGTGGCTACCTTGATTTCTAATTCTATCAAATTTGAAAGTGTAAAAGAGATAAAGCATAAAGACGGTTGTTATGTTATTCTGAAAGGGAAATTGGAAGATCATATAGTCACACTTATTAATGTTTATGCACCTCGGGTAGACACTTTTTCGTGGCTTTATTTGATATTATTTCTCAGGAAACAGAGGGGTTTATGATTTTTGGAGGAGACATTAATGTTGTTCTAAAACACGATCTGGACACAACCAGCACTAAAAAAATTTTTTAAAAGCAGTTGGCCAGATATATTAATACAGTATTGACAGAATTTGGGATTTTAAGCTTCATTTAAGCCAAAGGGAGAAAAAAACGACATGGAGATTGAATCTTAGTACGCTTAACGACCAAACGATGCTAAGGAAAATAAAACATGATATCAACACATATAGAAAAGAGAACAAGAACGGAGAAATTGACCCCACTATCTTGTGGGATGCCCTGATAGCGGGGATGCGAGGAAAATTCATATCCTACGCAGCTCATCTTAAAAGAACTAGAATAAAAGAATACAATGATATAATGGAAGAACTTGGAAAACTAGAAAGCGAACATAAAATTACAAATGACCCAGAAAAGCATAGCCGGATAAAAGAGTTAAGGAAAAGAATAAATAAAATCTTAGAGAGGGAAGTGGGAAAAAAAATAAGATTCCTAAAACAAAACTATTATGAGAGGGCCCCCAAAAAAATTACTTGGCAGACAGCTCAGAAAGAAACAACAACTCAATGAAATATATAAAATCAGAGAACCCACAACTAATACCCTAGTGTATAAACCAGAAGAGATAGAAAAATTATTTGAAGATTACTATAAAAACCTTTACTCACAACCTGCCTCATGTAATGAAGAGTTTTTCGGGATACATTAGATCGACCAGTAATAGGGAAATCCCAAAATACAATTTGTTGTTCTGAAATAACTGAAATGGAACTGGAAAACACAATTAAGAAACTAAAACCCGGTAAGGCACCTGGTAGTGATGGCTTCCCTCCTGAATGGTATAAAATTTGGGGTAAAGAACTAAATCGACTTTTAATAACTTCACTTAATCACATGTTAACAAATGGTTCTTTATCCCCCTCATGGAACAAAGCTATAATAATAGTGATCCCCAAAGAAGGCAAAAACAAAGAAATTTGTGAAAACTATAGACCTATATCAATACTTAATTGTGATTATAAAAGATATACAACCATTTTATATCAAAGATTAGAAAACTTTATGCAAGAATTAATTCATGAAGACCAATTTGACTTTATAAAAGGAAGACAGACATAAGATAACATAAGGAGGACGTTACATGTCATTGAAGAAATACAAAAAAAGGTAGAGAGCACACTTCTTATTAGTTTAGATGCTGAAAAAGCTTTTGACAGCGTTCGATGGAAACTCTTATACCTGTGCTTGGAGAAACTTGGGTTTAATGAGGACACAGTTAAGTGCATCAAGACAATATACAAGGATCCAAGGGCAAGAATAAAAATTAATGGAAGCTTAACCAAAGAAATCAATCTAGAAAGGGCCACTAGGCAGGGGTCTTGTCTATCGCCAATTCTCTTCGCAGTTTATATTGAGCCATTGGCCCAAGCCATAAGGCAAAATGAAGAAATTATGGGAATTACCATGAGAGACAGTGAGCACAAAATGACGCTTTTTGCTGATGATATTTTGATATATTTAAAAAACCCAGACTCCAGCCTCCCAAAATTAATGACATTACTAGAAAACTATGAATATTTTTCATGTTACAAACTAAATGTCCAGAAAACACAAGTGCTCAAGTTTAATTATTTACCATCCAAGGAAATTCAAGATAAATATAATTTCAAATGGAATAATAAAAAACTTTTTTTTTATTTAGGGATAAGTATCACAAAAAAAAAAAGAACAATCTGTTTGAGAGTAATTATGTACCTCTAAATCAAGAAATATATAAGGAGATGGAAAGATGGTCGGTACTGATGTTTGACCTTAGTTCAAGGGTTGAAATCATAAACATGAATGTATTGCCAAGAATTTTGTATCTGTTCCAGTCCTTGCCGGTGCCAATCCCACCCCTGCAATTTTAAGAGTGGGACAAAAGAATTTCAAGATTCATCTGGAAAGGGCAACGACCAAGAATTAGATCTCCAACACTTTAATTACCGAAAGAAAGGGGGGATTGGCACTGCCAAATCTTAAAGAATATTCTTTTGCTGCACAGCTCTGGCACTTGGTTTGTTGGTGTAATAGAAACTATTTTACAAGATGGAAAGAGATTGAGTTGAATGTGGAAGGGAGTCATATACAGAGTTTGATAGCAGACAGAAGAATGTTTAAAGAAAAAGAGTAAATACTGAAAGTTCACCTTGGAAATCTGGTTTAAAGTACTTAAGAGATACAACCTGGAAAAAGAAATTAAGATTTTGAGATGGTTGGCTTACAACAAAAATTTTAAACCAGGGGCTTTGAACCATAGATTCAAACAATGGGAAAAGAAAGATATAGTGATAATGAATACAATTACTGAAAAGGGAGGAGTCAAAAGCTTTCTAAAACTAAGAAGAGATTACGATTTGGACAAAAGACTTTTTCATGTATCTACAGGTCAGAGATTATATTTAAAAAAGTGATTAAGTCAGATCTCCAAGGAGAGCAAAACTGGCTTATTGTTACATTATGCAACGCATACAGAAATCAAGTTAAAAGACCAATCTCTGTGCTATATCAAAGCACAGGCATAAATGGGACTAGGAAATTAAGAGGGAAATAACTGAAAAAGAATGGTATAATATGTGCAGGACTCAGATGAGGATGCTGGAGGGAATTCTGCTGGAAAAACACAGTCAGATTCTTCACAAAAATTCTTCAGGTCCCACAGCCCTGCTGGAGCAACTGTGGAGAACAGGACGTTGATCATACCCATATCTTTTGGTGCTGCAAAAAGATAACTAACTACTGGGAAGAAATAAGCAAAGGAATAAGAAAAATATTAGGTTACGAGCTCCCCATGACCTTCGAAGTAATGTACCTGGGCAGGAAAACATACAAACTAAAGACAGATACTTGACTGAAATACTTCTTGCAGCATCAAAGAAGGCCATCACGAGGAATTGGTGTAAGGAGAATCCACCCAATCAGAAGAACTGGCTGGACATGGTGGAAGAACTATATGCAATGGAGGAACTAACACACGCTGTATGACTGAATGAGCTGCAGAAAGAAACAAAATGCTGTGAGAGTAGAGACTGAGGAGCATTTTAAAGCAGACTGGACCGAGTTTAGCACCTAACTACAACTTTAAAAAGTTCATCGATCTTGGACTTCAAACATGTTGGAAAAAGTGAACCCTGCTCTTTGTAGGAAAGTGTTTGTTTGTGACCGCACTGCAAACTCAGCAGCAGTAACTCCCCTCTGACAATTTTTTATAGAATTCAGTTTTTATTGAATAAAATTTAAAATCTGATCGATCAGATCCAAACCCTTCGACTCTTCTCGCTTCTACAGTATGAACTTCCTTCACTTTATTTTGTGCGTGTTGGCCCCTTTGAACATTATCCTGGAATGAACCGACCCTCTGAGTGTGTGTGTGTGTGTGTAAGTGTGTGTGTGTGAGTTTGCAGTGAAAGTAAACGTGAAAAAAACTCTACATATTTCTGCTCTTCTGTCGTCTTCACGTGCTAAAAAAACTGGTCCGCTCATGACAATACTGACCAGCTTTTTAACCACACACATGCAAATACCCCCCCCACCCCCACCCACACACACCCACCCACACACACACACACACACACACACAAACTGAGAGGGAGGCCAGTCGCATGTTCACATTTGTGAATGAAAGACTTTCTGTCTCCTTCTCCTCTTTTTTCTCACTCTCTCACTCTCTCACAGGAATTTCTCTGTTGGCAGTGATCCAGAAACTTCTCAGTGGCGGGAAAACACAGAAACACACACTTACACAGAGACACATACACACACACACACACACTGTAAAAAGTGAGGAGTGTAAATGCTTCACTGTACACTGTGTTTGTAGTATTTCAGCAAGTTGCAGAAAGAGATCCATTTTAACAGAGAGCTGATTTCCTCAAACTTTGCCTGTATGATCAAATAACAAAGGAATAATCAATTATTGTAAGAAAGTCATTAAAAAAAGTTGATCTAGAGTGTAAAAGTTCAATAACCTCTAAGAAAAAGTCAAAATGACAGTCATCATTAAAAATCTTGAGGTAAGAAGTCAAAACCATAATGCCATAAGGTTTAGGTTGAAGTTAAACTTTGGATCAAAAGTCCAAATAAGTTTTTAAAGTTTTTTAAGGTGGTTTCACTCAATGTTTATGAGTCTTTGTCCTGTTATGGTTGGGTGTTTAATCATCATAAACTAATTTTCAAATATTGATAGAAAATCAGAGTTTGTGCTTTTTCTGTAACTTAAGATCTACTTCGAAATAAAAGCATCGTTAAACCATGCAGGAACCCAAACATAAGACAGGAAGATATCAAAATAATAGCCTGGAAAACCATGATGGCTGTATTTTATGCCCCTCTCTCTGAGGTCTTAGTTGTTCTCTTTCTCTGACTTTCTGACCTCTGCAGCATGGACACACTACATGAACACATTCATTCATTCACACCACATTCATACAGTGATGGCAGAGCCTGTTGTTTCATGTATTCAGACCGAGAAGGAGAAGTTTGGAGTCTAAAGTCTCGTATGTTTTGACATCCTCAGACAGGACTGACTGTAACCAAACTCTGTGAAGACTCTGGTCCCTGATCTAAAACCCACTCACACTTTTTACAGTGTTTGACCACACACCAGCACTTTCTCTAACAGCTGCTACTCACTCAGCTCCTCCCTTCTCAGCTCCTGATTGGCTGCTGAGTTTGGCGCGCTTTGCTGCTCCTCGTGACTAATCCTCCTGCTGATACAGTCATCGGGACAACAAACGGAACAAAAGTTCAGCCGGGTGGTTTCCCGGCAACGCGTCCAGATTACAACCTGTACTGTAAACAGAGGAGAGGCTGCAGGGAGAGTCAGGACCCAGAGAGACAGACAGTCTCTGTACGGGGAAACCTGAGACCAGGATCTGTACGAGGAAACCAGAGACCAGGATCGGACAAGAAAATATCATCTAGAGATATTTTCATGTAATAAAATCAGAGCTGTTTACAAACCTTATCTTTAAAGCACTTTGAACAAAAACAGGTTTTAAGGTTTAATAAAGCAGACAGCAACATCATAAAATAATTAAATAAGAGACAGAAAATCCTTTTTAATTCTGCAACTAAAGGGTTTTTATTTCTCTCCTTCCTCTCTAAACTGGTCAACAGAAAGCACATGTCCGTATCTCCTTATATAGTACTCATTGGCTATTGGTCGGCAGAGATTTCTGCTGATTCCTGGCTAAAGGGATCATAAACTAACACATTATGCTTCGATCAAATATGTGTTTTCTGACCTAGAAATCTGTGAGTTCTTGGTCCAGAGACCCAAGTGAGACCCAAGCATCAGTTTCTATTTTGTGCAGAATTATCATCTTAGTCTGCTAATGTTAATGTATCTGAAGGACTGAGCTAACGGGTCCCTCAGAGACTAAAGAAGCATGTGATACCTGATATGAATGGCATCATGGGATACCTGCTTTAAGGAGGTCACGGTATTTTAAAAAGTGAACTCAGTTACCGAGTAACGATAATGTAGAAGAGGTTTTACCTGACCTACTTCTATAATTAACTCTCCATGTCATGATGCAACAGCTTGAAAAGCAGCTGCCATTTTACACTGAATACTCCTCTAAATATAGAGTAGCCTCTGAGATAATACCACAGTGATAAGAGGTGTCAAAGTCCTGTGACATCATTGGTCATTGTTTTAATGTAAACAGTAGACAGACAGGCTGATGAGAGCTGATCAGCTCTGCAGTGTTTTTCCACCTCTGCATCTGAGGAAAATACTAAATAAATGAATAAATACAAATAAATGCAAACATGGTCAGTTCCCCAGGAGAACTTCCATCAGTAAAATATGCAAATGACACAGAAATCAGATCCTAACATTAGTCTTGGACCAAACGGAGGTTGGTCCAAAGAACCACTGTAGTTTTAAATATGTAGAAAACTCAGATGTACTGACTCGCTGTAAAATCCACTTGCTCCGCTAGAACGGCAGATCTCTGGTGATAAACTCTGCCCCTCTCCCACAGATCGGTGTATTTCAGACTGTCTCTCTACAGCAAAGGTGATCTAAGATGATTTATTGATTAGTTAGTCAATGTGACAGACAGAGGTTGATGTCTCCATTTCAGTGTGTCACCAATCAGAGGCTGCATTTGTGATCAGCTGACCTGTAGGGGTTCAATTAGAAACAGTTGCACACTACTGTCAGAGTAGAAATCAAAGAGGTAGAACTGTTCTGAATGGAAAAAAGCTAAGACTGAAAGACTGAATTGGGAGATAAAAATGAGCTCTTCAGCAAATATTAGCAGATTAAATCATTTCTGCTGTGTCGTCGTTTCTTCGACTCTCTAAAAGGAGGAGACCAGAGTTCATACCAGGAGGTCTCAAACCCAAAACCTCAAGAAGAATCTTTGCTCTGACCAAGAACCAAAAGTGTAAATCTGACACCCTTTAAATAACCATGTGAGTCTGAAACCAGCATCCCCAAACCTCCAGGCTGACCCTAACTCCAGACTACAGAGCTAAAATCCAGAAACCAGAAACCTTTAACCCTTTACTTTAGAGCCTAAAATTACAGCCTGAGCCTGCACACACACACAGCTGAGAGATAGGAGCACCTTTTAGCAAGGCATCAAACCCCCACAATAGAAGCAGTGCACTGTGGGTATTCCTGACCACCTGTCCTGCTGCAGGAAGGTTGAATTAGAGCAAAAACCTACACCAACTCAAGAAACGCCCTAAAAACTAAAAAAATTACCTTCAGCAGGTTTGAGTCTCACATTTGTGTTTTGTTGTTTAAATATGATGAGTTTTTTAAATTAGCACAAAAACAGGATAAGTGATGTGAAGCAGTCACTCCTGAGAGGACGCTTCAAACCTCCTGATTCACCATCTGAAAATGTTCCTAGATTTGCACCAAATCTTGTCAAGTGTTCCTCAGCTCTTGGCTGAATTTTACACATTTCACAGAAACCCCTTCAGAGACTTTTTGGGAAATTACTGATAAACTGACGGGTGGTGGGAAGTTCAGTTACTCAAGCTCTGGATCTGAGGTTAAAGATGACGTTCAGCACTCTCTTTTACAGGTCCAGATCTCACTCTAACTGGTCCCAGTGAGGAGAATTAGAGACTCTCTCAGGACAACATGAACCAGAGACTTGTCTGTTATGGTAGTTCAGTGGTGAGTCCATCATAAGAGTCACAGCAAGATTCAAGATTCAAGAACTTTATTGCCCTTTTGACAGAGTCAATAGGAATTTGTCTTGGTTCACCTTCTCCACAACATCCATCAAACAAACATATCATCACATCAAAGACAAGAACAAAAAAAACACAAAACAAAAAAGTAACCAGCAGCAAGGAAGTGCAAACAGTTGTTACAAAGTGCTATATGCATATTGCACATGTACAGTACATACATTCAATACTGTCCTAACGACTCGTGAACTTGTTCAGATGTCTGATAGCTAGAGGGTAAGTGCTATCACTAAAGGGAGAGGTAGAGCTCCCGATGCTTCTATATCTCCTACCTGATGGGAGGAGATTGAAGAGGTAGTGTGCAGGATGAGAATTATCCTCTATCATTTTTTTGGACTTCTTGATAATTCTCGAGTTAAACAGTGATGAGAGTGAGGGGAGGCTACACCCAATGATTTTAGATGCTCGGTGTACTACTTTTTCTTGGCAGGTCTTGTCCTGAGAGGTTGTGTGACCAAACCAGACAAGCATTGAAAAAGTCAGCACACTATAGAAGTGAATCATTGCTGCTTGGCTAACACTGAACTTCTTGAGCTGCCGCAGGAAGTAGAGTCGCTGGTGGGACCTGCTGATTATAAGATTGGCGTTGAGATCCCATGATAGGCATTCATGTATGGTGGTGCCCAGGAACTTAAAGGAGGATATCCTTTCTACTACTTCCCCATTGATGGAAAGAGGGGAGAGGGGGCTCGAGATCTTTCTAAAATCAACAACCATCTCTTTGGTCTTGGAGATGTCGAGTATTAAGTTGCTGCTCTCACACCATCTTACCAGCTCCTCTACTTCTCTGTGGTAGTCAGATTCATCCTCGTTTTTAATGAGACCCACCACAGTGGTGTCATCCGCATATTTATACAACACGACTGATCCAGAATGTGACTGACAGAAATGTGCATATAGCGAGTACATCAGTGGAGATAAGACACAGCCCTGGGAGGCCTCAGTGTTCAGGAGCCTAGACAATGAGACCAGACCTACTAAGTCACTGGTTTTCTATCATGAGGCTGCAGTGCTCGATCCAATCAGCTAAGTCTTCATCACTCAGAGAAACTCCAGGACGGGTTTGATTCATAAACACAAAGCTAGTCTCATCTGGGTCAGCTTTCCTGTGCTTAGACTGACTATGAGGATTTGTAACTGTCAAGTACGAGCAGAAACTGTCACTCTTTATAAAGACGATGAAGACATGATGAGGAGGGAGTGTGAGCAGCAAACATCACTGTGACTGTGAACCATGTAGAATAAGAGTCATTCCAAAGTGATAGATGGGAATAACTACACCATATAAACAGGACTCAATGTTTCCCACAATGTATTGTAAAAAGTAGCGCACAACTGATTGTCAATAACTCTAAAACCTGCTTATCTATCTCAAATCCAAGTCTGGTAAACCTTTCAGCCTCTGACTGAAACTCTTCAGAAAGTCACACAGTTCTGGGTGTTTCTTTTTACACAGCTGCAGCTTCATTCTGTCCTGTTGTAATGTTGTTCACAGTTTGTGTCTCTGAGCTTCATGAAGGTCTTTTATAAACGATAAGCTCCGGGTTTCAGTACCAACTGAGACTCTAATCCAGCTCATACTGGTCTTTGTTCCCAAAAGAGTCCTCAATAAAGTGGCATGTACTAACAGCTACAATGGAGTCTTTGAAACATCCAAACTTCCTGCTGTTGTCTGGGGAGAGGAAACAGCTGAAACTTTTCTTCAGGACTGAAAAAAGACTAACTTTAGCGGCAGATTGGACCAAGAGAGACCAGTGAGGGGGAGGAAGACCAGCAGGGAAAAGGACTTTACAGCATCCTTGAAAGAGCGGTCAGGTGGGAGTGTCCTTAAAGAATGGCAGAACATGATGTCAGGTTAAGTCTCCTGAAATCCTTCAAACCAGCTGTTCAGACAAAACAGGAGACAGATTAAAACAGCTGTAAATATCTGAACATCAGTGCGTCAGAGTTACAAGGTCGACCACGACACTGTCTGCATATTCAGTGACACTGCACCCCGTCACGGACCAGATCAGGTTTTCTTTTTTCCTTGTTCCTGTGGGATCTAAAATCAAATGTGAGAAAGACCCCAACACATCCCAGACAGTGATCATATCTCATCAAAGCATCCTCTGAGGACTGTGATACTGGATGCGCGCACGCACGCACGCACACACAGGAAGTTACTCAAGCTGGCTGTAACTTCCTTCAGATGCTTTATTGTTAGTGTGTTTGGGATGATAATGTTAAGATATACAGAACAGTATAAAGAGCATGACTGCCACATGCTGGCCAACAGAGAGAACTGCAGCTCACTGAGAAAGCTGCTATTAAAAAATCAGACATTCAGATCCTTCGAGGAGTCAGAGGTCAGCTAGTTGCCACGACTACTCTCAGACATTAATCATTCGACTCAAGGCTCCACAGCATTGAGTTTTGAGTCCTCAGACCTCAGGACAGTTTTCCTCCTCCCCTCAGTCCACCTTAAATGGGCTCAGGTCCAGAAGAGTATCTGGTGTTTCTGGATCCTGTTGGTCTCTAACGGCAGGTATATTAACACCTCTGTAACCTCTGGACTCTGTGTGGTCCCTGTTTTACCAAACAGTGTCTGTGTTTATCTGGTCCTCTCTCAGCTCTGTGATGTTCTATGGTCTACAGTTAAGAAACAGAGCTGCTCTCCTGAGTCACAGCCTCCCGTGATGGTGAACAGACTCTGATTCAGACTCCTTTTTAACACATGGACACCTCGACATAATGCGTGTCATTTTTCAGAAGTGAATCATCACATCAAGAACTCAGACAAAAGTCTCCAAATGAAGAGGAGCTTTCTGTAAACTCTAAAATAAGGAGGGGAAACATTTGAGGCTGGTGTATTCAACATTTATTTTCTGTCATTTTAAAAACTGTTCAAGGACAATTAAAATATAAATACATTTCTCTCTCACACTCATAAACACACACACACACACACACACACACACACACACACACACACACACACACACACACACAACCCCTGCCCCTGATTTAGAAGTCAAAAGGTGCAACAATCAACCACCAACAGTCGATTCATCAGAAACTTTTATAGTCTGCATCATCAGATTTCAGAAGCTTTTGAAAAAACACAGAGAGAAGAAAACATAAGGTTATTGAACGTGTCTCTTTACAGCTGTAATACTCTGAATCATTACCATGGTTACCAGGGACAGACAAAAGAGTGTCTGCTTCAGTCAAACAAACCGTTTTTAATTTTCTGGGTAAACATAACATCCTCCTAAAAAAGAGGCTTGACTGAAAATGTGTTTAGACTTTTTTTAAATAAACAGTTTAATCATTCTATTTTGGCACAAGACCTGACATCCATGATTTCTAAAAGAGTGACAAATTTGGAGATTTCAGATGTAAAGGGAAAGAATTTTGAGATTTTGTACTTGAATCAATCAGTCTTGTGGTCGTAGTTAAACAAGAAAGTTGAGGTCCAAGATTTCCAAAAGGAATGATGGGTTTTAAAATTTAAATATTATTCTTAAAATCAAGTATCTTGAGATTTTAAATCAAGTCCATAAATGTTGTAGTGGGACACTTGGGACCCTCGATTTCCAAAGACAATGTCACATTTTTAAATATTCGAGATTAAAAGTTCTTGTACTTATGGAAAAATAAATGTTACGGTTCTACCTATACAGGGAGATATATCCACGATTCCCAAATGAATGAATGAAACATTTTCAGTGAAAAGCTTGATAAAAAAAAAACAGACATTCTTAAGATGAGTCCTTGTGACAAGGAAGTGTTTTGGTTCTACTTCAGCGGGGCAGTTGGTGTCCATGAGATCCAGAAAGAAAGTCAAATTTGGAGATTTAAAATGACAGATTCCAGGATTGAATGTTGAGACTTTCTACATATAAGAATTCATTTAAAGGTTCTTCTGTAAGAGAGGATTAGATGTCCATGATTCCCAATAAGAATGTCAATTATTTCCTCAAGATTGATCATCTCAGGTTTTTGAACTTGAGGCAGTAACCCAAGACAAATCTGAACGAAACATCAAAAATGAAACAAAAACTTAAGGAGGAGAACAGGAAGGGAAAACTGTGGTACTGTAGGATTAACATTCTTCTCGTCCTCCTGCTGTTTTCCATACTCAGGGATGTATTGGTCGGTTGGTGCAACTTCTCAAAATGCATGATGGAACAAAACAAGTTCACTTTAGAGAGGGTGTTAATCCAAAATCCAGACCACACCAAACGACCAAACCTTGTTTTCACTTCATCATGTGCATAAAGTGACTTCAGACATGGGCGTGTATTTAAAGAAACTCCAGCACTAAAATAAAAGTATAAATATTGAGTCTCAGTAACATTTTGAACAAAGTTCAAACTTCTAATCAAGATTTTTGGAACATCTTTGAGTTAAAAACTGTGTCTGGATAAAGATGTTGCCCGATTTGCAATCAACGGTCCAGAAACTGTCGGTCTAAAGGTCCTTACACACCAGCGAATTTGCGGAGCGAAGCGAAAAAGCGAGAAGAAAATGCGAAAATATTCGCCAGTCCGAAAAATAGTTTTCGCCTATACACACCGGGCGCGAAGCAAATATGTGTATAAATTTTGCAAAGCAAAGTTCTACCCCCCAAAATTCCGCCAGTATTTTAGAATGTCCCTCGGGCAATTTAACGACCTCCTCCAGCAGCTGACCCCATAGCTGGAGAAGCAGACAACTAACTAAAGAGAGCCAACTGGTCCAGAGGAGCGGCTAGCCACATGTCTGAGGTAAGATTAAAATAATAGGCAATATTCTATATGAATGAGACAAAGTCCCATTTTCTTGAAAGCTCCGGGCCCCCAGCCCTGTTATAATGTATATAAGCACATAATAGCTCATCTATAGCTCACTCGTCTCCAAGAGGAGCTGGATGGGTTTGCCATAGCGTGCTTGATAAATGAAGATCATCAACAACATGACTTTTGATTGGCCAGAGGTCTAGCAGGTCCCGATATTCGCCTGCGAATCTGCTAAAAATTCGACATAAGAGCGAAAGAATAAAAGACGCTTTTCGCCTCACGGAAAAATCGCCGCCGGTGTGGAAGCTTGCATTGACTTTATGCTGCTTTTAAAAAAGGCGAATAAAGGCGAATAATTCGCCTGGCGAATTCGCGCCTGGTGTGTAAGAACCTTAACCCCGGCTGTCGCCCTGCTGAGTCTGTTTCTATTTGTCTAACACTCTGGATGTTAGAAAATAAACAAAATGTGGCGAGGATCAAACTGTAAAACACATCTGGCTCTCATGAGTCGACCCGGCACATGAGTCAGGAACAGATCCAGAGTCAGAATGATATTTACGTGCTGTCTTTCTGTGGTCTGGAGCTTCCTGCTGAGCTCCCTGTCATTGACTTAAAGATGAGAACGACACTTTGAAGATTTCAGAGGGAGGATTATTATCTGAGGAGACTGGTAGTTTTAGGATCTTTTAAAGATCTCCCACTCCAACAGATGGAGGAGTAAAAATACGAAACAGAAACACATGATTAAACCGCAGTCTGGCGGGGCAGAGAGAGTTCTGAATCCCAGCAAAAAAAGAAACAGAGAGGAAGCCAAACTGAAGAAGCCCCTTTTTCCTGTATGAACTAAATATCAACTTCATCTGAGTGCTTTTTCACACAGTCACCAGTCATTTCCTTCTGCTCTCAGAGGCCAGTGTGTCTGTACAATATTTACACTAAAATAATGACAAAAAAAGAGGAACCTTCAAAGGAAAGTGTCCTCTGAATCTCTGCACGTCATACTAAAAATGATGCATCTCAATAAATGAGAGTGTTGTGACAAAGTTCATCTCCTTCTTAGTTTAACTCAAAAATCAACTTTCTTATGTTCTCCTGTTCTCTGCTTGTACTGTGAAACATTTCAAACTGTTGTGATTTAAAATCTGGACCTCTACGATCTTCCTCCAGACTCTGGGACCTGGATTTACTAATTAGATGATATGCTGCAAACAGGACTTTGGTCCACTGAGCTCTAGTCCAGTTCTGTTTCTTCTCAGTCCAGGTGTGACTCTGGTTCAGGAGTGTGACAGGTGATGAGTCCACTATTGATATAACTTTACTAAGTAACCAATGGAAACCGTTCAACTTTTTCACGACACTCTAATTGACAGACATGCATCTGTATTGTGGCCACAGTAAGGGCCTGTGTCCACTGACTGCATTTCTGTGCTTCAATATGCTGCTTACTGTTAGTTTCTCAAGATTTACGTTTCTTTACTAAGACTGAAAACTGATAAAAAATGACTGTGTCATAGAATCAGTTGCAGCTCCTGACTTTCACAGACTCGGTGAAGTCAGTTTTTCCTCTATTACTGTTGATTAGGGCTGCCACGATTATTTGATTTAGGTTTGACAATCAAAACTAAAAAACTGGTTGAAAACTATTTTATTAATCAACGTCATTGTTTTTTTTTTTTCCTTTTCCCTCTTTGTTTCTTGCTAGAAAGTGTCACGGTACCCGCCGCTCATAGCCTCCGCTGTGTGTTCCTTGTCCTGGACGCACAGTAGAGCTCATAGAAGTTGGTGTCTGACGTCACTACAACTCAGTACCAATGTAGAACAGGACGTGTAGCTCCAGTATTTGAGAGCATTTTACCAAAAATATAAAGGAGAAGTCCATGAAATGTAAGATATGCAAGGCAGAGCGGACGCCGGAGAAGGACCGTAGAAATGCTTATTTTCCTGGTAATGAATAAGACTGTGTAGAGTTTTATGTCAATACAGTGTGACTAAAGCACAAAAAGCACATTTCTTTTTATTCTTTTTAAGTGCCCACCTCATTTGATTTTGCTGTTTGATTTGATTGATATTTCTTTTGTTGTTGATAGTTCTATATTTTTCTATGTTAAATGCCACAGCCAGAGTGAAGTTTGTGTTTTTACAATTATTTGTTTTTGATACCATTTTGTATTTTATTTTAACTCAACAACGCAGAGTTTAAGCTTCTCGTGAAATGTGGGAATGCAAAAACTCTGGAAAGATTGGACTGCAACATTTGTGGAAGTAAAGAGATTATGTGCCTTCATAAAGATCTTATCAAAACACACAAAATGTATGGAACAGAGGAGCGAGAACTACTTTGAAAATCCTCCAAACACTGACTACACCATTAGGTTCAGCATTTACACAGGAAAGACTCCAACTGCAAGTGAGCATGGAAGAAGATCAGTGAGATGGATCAGAGAGGGCCCACTAGTTTTATGTGAAGTGGATAGACTACAGGTGTCTGACCCCTGTGTCCCCATGGTTTTAGCATTAGACCTGGACTTATCAGCTGATGATGATAATGCTGTTCCACTCACTGGCGAGGAGGTAGAGGGACCTCTGGACAGTGAGCAAGAAGAGATGGGAGTCAAGGATGACAAGGGAGAGAGCAACTTGAACCTTGAGTTTCAGAGGTCCCCCGAATCATCACCCAGATGTTCTACCCTAAATCATGAGAGACACCTATCCTCCAGCTACCCTGTCCAGAGTACCAGTTGGCCACTTCCCTCAATCCCTGTTCCCGGGTCCCACAGCTCCTCATCTTCTCCTCTTCACCAGCTGCCTGCCAACTCTCAGCATGTGTCCATTATTACTTCCACTGATGAGCGTCATCTTTCACCTACAGGGAGACCAGGAAAGGATGCCCCAGAGGGAGGGAAAATGCTCTCACAAAAAACTGTGGAAGAGGATCAGTGAGATGAATCAGAGAAGGCCCACTAGTTTTTGTGAAGGAGATGGACTACGGGAGGTGTCTGTGTGCTCCACCATCCATCCTACATTTTCAGGTGAGACAGTGCAGAGAAGAATGAAGGATGGAGATGGATGCTGGGCTGTAAGAGACATCCCATGTCCCACACCAATCACAGCCTACAACAAGATTATGGTTGGAGTTCATCCATCAGACCAGCTCATCCAGTATTACTCCACTCACAGAAAAACTGCTCACTGGAAGGGACTGTATTGCTGCACTCCCTGGACATTGCCACATGAATGCCTACGTCATGCACCGTGAGATGCGCAAAACCAAGCAGGTACAGCCCATGACACACAAGGACTTCATGGTGGAGCTTGGGTGTCAGCTTTATGGCAACGACAAAGCAAGAGTTCCCCAGAGGGAGAGTAGATCACATTCCTGTGCCCATCATCACACCCACAGATGCAGGCAAATCAACCAAAGGCAGAGAAAAGTGTCATCGCTGCCCCCAAGTGGACTAAAAAGGGGAGTGACACACCATGGATGTGTCAGGCCTGTGATGTGCCCCTCTGTATCTTGGTCTACAGGAACTGTTTTTTGTGGTGGCATAAATAAAATGTGCCATTTGTGCAACCATATATTGTTTTGTAAATAGTTGTACAAAAAAGGCCTGAGGCATTGCCTGCATTTTAATGTAAGCAGTACGGGTGTCACGATTTTGTTTTTTTATCGAAATCAATCGAAATTACGTCACGGTCTCGGTAATGGAAATCAAAGAGAGGATAGACGATCCCCTCCCTCCACATCCGGGAGGTGTGCAAAGCGGAAGCAAATGACAATGCCACACACTGTAGCCGACGCAAGCCTCTGTGAGTTCTCATTTTTGTTGTTATAATGTAGGGCTGCAGGATACATCAAGATACACTGCGTGTGACTCTGCATGTGCTGTGCAGCGAACCACCGATCACATTCGTTCTTTACTTAGATGCCAATCACACTACCCTACCAGCTGTCAATCAAAATTAGAGAAGAGGAAACTGCGCCCCTGCACTTGGAGTGAGTCACTGGCGCTCACACCTGCCATGTAAACTACCACTAGTTTGAAGCCAGGATATAGACGCACAAGAAAAAGTTTGAAGCCAGGTTGCAGATACTGGAAAAAAAGTGGATGGAATGATGACAGTGCTGCCACAGACGACAAAGAGCGAGGGGCGGCAGTAGCTCAGGAGGTCGAGCGGTCGTCCAATAACTGGAAGGTTGGCGATTTGATTCCCCCCTATCCCTAGTCTGTACATTGTGTCCTTGGGAAAGACACTTAACCTTGCTCCCAGTGTGTGTCCTCCACTGGTGTATGATTGTGTGTTGTGTGGTGGTCGTAGAGGCCGTAGGCGTGAACTGGCAGCCACGTTTCCATCAGTTTGCCCCAGGGCAGCTGTGACTACTAAGGTAGTTTATCACCACCAAGGTGTGATTGAATGAATAATGTATCCAATGTAAAGCGCTTTGAGGGTCTCTGATAAAGCGCTTTAAAATCTAATTTATTATTATTATAATTATTAGTTTAATTCAGTAGTCCCGCCCCTGTCTGATTTTGATTGGTCGACAGAAAGGTGATGTTACAAACAAAAACATAGCTGACACCAGAGGGTGTTTTTTGTGTCAGGGATGCTGAGCGCCAAAAACGTTGAACTGCATTTTTTTATGGGAATAAGCCCTACCAGCACAAAATAACATAATTAGTGGACACAGGCCCTTCAGATTTAAAAGATCTGACAGTCACGATGTTACCAGGAAGAAGGGTGTATCGTTATGAGGAGATAGTCCTGATTTTAGGACATGATTAGCCTACACTTTATTTTGAAGGTGAATATCTAAAGAGCAGCTGGCTGCTGAGCATCTTAAGAAGTTAAACTCAATTAAAATTTCATAAATAACTAAATATTCAATATGTAGACTCATCAGAACCTCAAGTTCTGAACAGTTGAGCTCTTGATTTTCTTCAGGTGATTAACACTGCAGGTGAGGGTAGAAGAAAAGTAAACTGAATTATAGGTCAACTTCTCCTTGAATACAGGAGCTACCCAGCCTTTTTTAACACATTCATTCAGTAAATTAGGGCTGATGTTTGTGGTCATTTCATTTAATTTCCTACAAGCCTTAATTCTGGTGGCGTATTCTTCTAAATGTCTCAATCTCTTCCTTACTGAACACACTGATACAGATCTAAAGGCGGGCGGGCCAACGCTGAAGCATGACAACAAAACAGACAAGAGAAAAGAACCGTTGATTTCCTGAATCTGTGAAATACCTTCTTGTCTGCTCCAGTGTGACTTCCAAAATCCTTATTCCCCAAGTCTGATTCAGACTCAGTCCAGTAGGCATCAAATTTCCATGGCAGAAAGTAAAATTCAAAAATCCCACAAATCCCTGCAGTGATTTTAACCCCTAAACAAAGCGACAGAGGAACTCAAAATAAAACCTCTCTTCTGCCGTCCTTCAGTCTTTTTGTCTTCAGTAAGATTTAGGAGCAGGAATAAGATCCTGCTCCTGATACCATTCTAGTCCCTCTCCTTCCCTCTCTGTCTTTGTGTCTCTGTGTCCGTGTCTTGGTCTGTGTTGCACCTCGGTAGCCAGCGGGGGCGCTGTTAGGACACCTTTCCCAGCTCTATCTTCTTCTGGATGACCCGAGCCGAGTGGTAGATGAGCGAGTCGATGAGACCGGCCACTGCAGGAAGACAGGATGATCCAGTATGTATGAATCCCTCAGCAGGTATTTTATCAGGTAACAGCGAGTGTGAGTAGAGAGACACTGACCTGTAAATACTCCTCCAATGATAGCACAGACTCCTGTTAAAAAGTGTGTGAATGATCTAAACAGAAACAAACAAATAAACAGAGTCAGAGAGGGACCTTCACATCCTCTCAAACACACCTGTCCTGAAAGGATCTCCTACCTGTGCTTCTCTGTGAATTTAACCATCATGGGTGACAGCTCGTATAAAACAAACACGCCCGGCAGACCCTGGTCTCCTATCAGCCCGTTTGCCACTTTCTCATGTCGGGTCACTGAGAACTGGTTTGTTTTTACCACCTGTACAGAAAAAATACAGTGAAAAAACGAGGAGCGAGGAAGACAGGTGTAAAGACCTGCAGATTATACGATGAGCTGAGCAACTCTCTGATATGATATAAAAACTATTTATGAGACAGACTGAAGATAAAAGATCAAATTCTGTTTTTATCAACATTTTACACAGTGTCCAAGCTGCTGTGGAAAATATGAGAAATAACAATCTTTAATGTGAGACTGCATCTCTGTCCAGAGCTGGAAACGTTCAGATGTTAAAATGGAAAAACGTGAAAATAGGGTCAGGACTACAATAAAATAAAAATAAATATAAAAACCCAGTTGTTTCAGGATGAAAATATAAATCGAAACTTCAGATTCTTGACTCACCTCTCCATCAGTTTTCATGTAGATGGTCGGAACAATTTTCACAAAATACTGGTACATCATGGATGCTGAGAGGAGAGCGAAAAAGAAAATATAGGAAAGTGTTTGAGGAGACAAAGAGATCATAATGAGTGTCAACATTCACAGTATTCACAGCAAAAAGGAGGTCCAGGTAAAATGGCACAAATACAGAAACAAAACAAGTAAAGGTTTTATCAATAATCAATAGCTCTCTAGCAGAAGGTGTAGTTCCCTTTGTTTTCAAACATGCTGTGGTCCAACCTCTCTTAAAGAAACCAAACCTAGACCCCTCTGATTTTAATTATTTTAGACCAATTTCAAAACTTCCTTTTATATCCAAGGTTTTAGAGAATGTGGTTTCTACTCAGCTTTTATCTTTTATGACTCATAATAACCTCTTTGACAAATTCCAGTCTGGTTTTAGAGCAGGTCACAGCACCGCGACAGCCCTCCTCTGTGTGACCAATGACCTTCTTTTAGCAGCAGATAGACGGGAGGGCTCAATTTTAATAGTTTTAGATCTCAGTGCAGCTTTTGATACCGTTGATTATGCTATTTTAATCTAATGCCTTAGATACTGGGTGGGTATCAAGGACACAGCACTTAGCTGGTTTCATTCTTATCTTTTAGAGCAAACCTTTGCAGTAACCCCTCTTCTTCTACCTCTACCCTTACCTTTGGTGTACCACAGGTTTCGGTTTTAGGCCCAATTTTATTTACTATTTATATGCTGCCCTTGGTCAAATAATTCAGAATCATAAGGTCTCCTTTCACTTCTATGCAGACAACAAACAGATATACCTGCCCCTGAGACCTGAGGATCCGAGAAGTTGAGCTGCTGGTACAGACTGCCTGAATGATGTAAACTGTTCGATGGCACATGGCTTCCTACAACTAAACAACTGCAAATCTGAAATAATCATGTTCAAATTACAAAATTCCTCAACCACAATAAGGAACAGCCTTGGTTCATTTTCATCAAATATCAAATCATCAGCCAGAAATCTTGGAGTTCAATTTAATTCTAACCTCACCTTTGCAGCTCATATCAATAAAATCACACAGTCTTGCTTCTTCCATTTACGCAGTATCCCCAGGCTTCTGACTGGTTTTAACAAACGACATCACATCATTCCTATTTTAGCATCTTTACATTGGCTTCCAGTTAGTTTTAGAGTTGATTTTTAGGATTTTACTCATTACTTTTAAGGCAGTAAAGGGTCTGGCTCCAATCTATGTAACAGGACTTCTAACCTCCAATGAGCCAGCCCACACCCCGAGATCCTCATGTGGGGGCCTCCCGGTCGTTCCAAAGTCGAGACTTGTAATTAAAGGTGACAGGGCCTCTTCCATCAGGGCCCCTCGACTTTGGAATAGCCCCATTGCTTTTAAATCACGTCTTAAAACTCATTTCTATAGACTTTCTTTTATGTGATTTGGGGATTTTTGTGATTGGGTTTCTGTGTTGGCTGGGTATCACTGGCTCTTATAATATCTTTGTTTTAATGTCTTCATTTTAATGACGTCTCAGCTCATGTGACTTTCATCAGAGCTTTTATGTGTTCCACCAATTTTTATTTCTTTATTGCCAATGTGATATTTCCCCCCAAGTGTTCTCTTGTTATTGTTATGTTGTTTTTATCTTATCCTGCATGTCAAAGCACTTTGTAAAGTCTTGTTTTTAAAAGTGCTATATAAATAAAGTTATTATTTAAGGTGGTCATTAATTAATGAGATCTCATCAGAGCAACATTTAAAACAGGTGTTTGGATTTTTACAGTAGTTTAAGACAGACAGGATAAAAATAAATGACCGAGTTACTTCTTTATACGTGACCTCAACATGTGAGACTGATTTAATGTCTCAGTTTTAAAATAAAATTTAAAATAAAGATTCTTTATGGCAACCACAATCTACTCATTTGAGAAAATTCAATTTTTCTCTTTTAAAAATTACCTTTCTTATTTCACAACTGAGATAAAGCCAATGAAAAAAAATGTTTTGAAAAAAAATGTTTTGGTGTCTATAGTTTTTCGTGTCACTTAGTTTAGAGAGCGTGAAAAAAACTACTGCACTTGAGCCAAGTTTTTTATATTTCAAAATAATACAGGCATAGTTTGTGTTATTTATAGGGGTATGGGTTTATTTATTTATTTATTTTTGTTGAGCTGTCTTATAACGGGAATGAAAGGAGCATGCAATGAATAAAACATGTTTGTGTGGGGAAACTGCAAGTTTACTGAATAGAAATGGATGTACTGTCAGTGGCCACTGAGCGGCGCTGTTTGTTTCCCCTCCCCGTTTTTTCCCATCTTTATTGGACTCCTCTGTTTGAACCTCCTTCCTGTATCCGGGTATGGGGATCTGTTAGAAAGACATTGAAAGGCTGTTGCTGTAAAAAACGCGAAAACCCTCCGGTTTGGCTCCAGAAACAGCTTTAATTTAACAAACAGACCAAGGTAAAGTCAACCTGAGAAATCTGACCTTTATTAAAGACGCTAAAAGAGTTTTGATCCGCGGAGTCTATCAAGGCCGCAGGGACGTTAGCCCGACAGTAAGCATGCTAAGCTAAAGTAACAAATGTAAATGCTGAAAGAAAAAGTAGAAAAAATATGGTTTAAGTTTGACATGTTTAACTAATAACACCGTTAACCTACCGTTAGAAGTTCGGCCCTTGGTATTTGTTTTTAGAATTAAATTAAACTGTCTACGGTTAGTTCAGCCCCGTCTGTGACAGTGAAGAAAATCCATAGACTAATAGAACGTAAGTTTGAACAACTGCCTTCAAGAATTTACTCTTTTACTTCACTTGAATTAGTCTTGACTTGGACTTATTTCCCCGAGAGGATCCAGGTGGTTTAAAACGACTTCATAGAGCTATTTTTGTCAGTTGAGACCACATTGTACTGGGTCCAGATCCAGAACTCTCTGCCCTAGACCCCCTTAGATTTAGTAACCGAAAAAGGTCTCCTTCAGACTCTGTTTTTCTTTGTTAAACCTGGTTTACTCAAAATGCAGAACAAGCAGTTTCACTGCGATTTTCTGATTTAGAGATGTTCCTGGACCAGATCCTGATCCAAGAACCCATTTGATAGGGTCTTTGGACCTGGTCTACATCATTCTGCGGTGTCTTTAGTCTCGGTAAAACACAGTTATATATAATTTTTAGACTTGATTCACTTGTGAAAATGCCATTTAAAAGCTTTTTCACTTCTTATTTTGTTTAGATCACATTAAATCAGATCATGGTCCAAAACCTTGTCACCCAGACCCCTCACATCTGGTCCTAGTTATTCTAGAAAGGCTCAAGATAGATTCTCTTCAGGATGTTCAGGTTTTCAAACTTTTGCTCTGTCTGTAAAATAAGGAAAAACAAAATCAGTTCCTCTGATATTTTTTTAACCTATCTGGACCACACTGGACCAGGTCCTGATCTAAAGCCCTATGTTTCTAGGCTTGGTAACCCATGTGTAGACTACAGAATATAAGGTCCTATTTTTTAACTGGGTTACCTATACTTCCGGACTAGATCTAAGAAACCTGGGTATTGGGATTTTTGTGTAACAGCCGGATCAGGTGGTGCGAATAACTTTGTCCTGATAATAACCTTCACATCACAACCTGGTTAATTTCTAATGAGCTGCTCAGCCTCAGGATTTAACTGGTTTGACTGGAACTACTCGGGTGAACATTGTGGATCTGCAGCAGTAAAACCTAAAGTCCAGGATACTGAACTCCTTCAGGATTTTTTTTTAATGACCTATAAAAGTTATGTCAACCTTTATCAAAGACAAACTGAAATAAATGTTCAAACTCTGATTTCAGCTGTAAAGTGAAACAGGAACCACAAAACCGCCTGAACTCTGACCCTCTTTCTTCCAGATGCCCGTGGCTGTAGGTCCGTATGGCCAGACCCAGCCCAGCTGTTTTGACCGGGTCAAGATGGGCTTCATGATGGGGTTTGCAGTAGGCATGGCTGCTGGCGCCATGTTTGGCACTTTCTCCTGCTTAAGGTAAACCTGTACCCAGCAAACCAATCCCTGACAACCTGATCCATCAGCCTGTAAACTGCCCTCTTCAGTACATCAACTCTCTTCTGTTCTGTCTGCAGGATTGGCATGAGAGGCCGGGAGCTCATGGGAGGAGTGGGGAAAACCATGATGCAAAGCGGGGGGACGTTTGGCACTTTCATGGCCATTGGTATGGGCATCCGCTGCTGAGGAAGACGAGGAAGGACCTCCTCCACCTCCACACACCTGTACAGCTATGGGACTCTTCCCGTTATTACAACAACAGCTTCCCGTCTGCTCGATGCTGTCACACCCTCAACCTCCTGTCTAGTTTTGTCAATAAAAGTTCCATTTGTCAAACAGTTTCAGAAGTTTTCCCCTTTCTGAAGCTGCAGACATCCTGCTCAGAGAATTTTACCTTCAGAGTCAATTTTCTGAACACCTGCAGAGTTTGATTTTAGTACGGATATGAAATATTTGTAACTTTTACTGTGATAACAGTGTGAACCCGGCTGAAGGAAGCTCTTTTAGCTCTTTTAACAGTTCAGACCACTGACCTTGTTGTGCTGTGACATCTGTCCCGTCCAGAGGATTCACGATGCCGGGGTAATCTCTCCCAAATGACAGGTGTTTGATCAGGTGGGTCATGTTTATCTGCAAATGAGAGGAAGGTTCAGAAACAAGCACAACTTTCTCTGAGTTTGAGTCATCCTGGGTATTTTTATCCAGAGACTTTTAAGATTAAGTTTAGGGTAATTGTGAAACTGAAGGTTACTCACGTTGTCTAAACCAAAGCTCTGCAGGTCATGAACTGCAAAAACACACAGACGACACCAAACATGAGTCTCAGTTTGTTCATCAGAGAAGCTTCAAATACAGCAGAGACAAACAAACATCTCTCAGGTTACAGATCTGTTAGAAATGAGAGATTTCTGTTAATGAGGGCCCTGACTGGTTCAGGTGTTAGAGGAGTTCATTCGGGAAAAGAAGCAAGTTTAGTTAAAGCCAGCAGGCACACAGGAACCTGTCCTTGCTCTGTTCAGATCTGACCTTTGACCTTCCTTAAGAGGCATGTCTTTGTCTCCATAGGAACTAAATATCTGCTAAAAAGGATCTTAAATAATTAACAAAAACTGAAGGTGATTTTAGCGTGAAGCACTTTAACAGTCGACACTGAACAGTGAGCTGCTTTCACTTTAAAATTTCTCCAGACCTGACCCACAAACTTAAAACAGGTATAGGACTCATACAGACCAGCAAAGAGCCTTCATATTTCAGCAAGACCATGACGGACCACATTCTGATAACAAGGATTACAACAGCATGCCTCTGTAGGAGAAGAGTCCTGCTGAGAAACTGGACTGATGCGGTCCTGACTTGACCCCCATTGAAAACATTTGGAGCATAATAACCCCAAAAACAGGACCAAGGAGACCCTGAACTGTTGAGCAGCTGAAATCCTCTACCAGGACCACATTTCACTATCAGACTCCAGAACCTGGTCTGCTGGGTCCTCTAAGGTTGTTTCATGTTTAATAATTACCAAACCATCAGACTCTCACACTTAAACACATTAAGTAATTTCAGTATGTGTGTGTGATGAGAATCAGCCTGTCTTCTTCAGTCATGTTCCCTCTGACATGCCAACTGTTCTCCACATATCTGTGAACAGGTTACTGCACTAAAATAAAGCTGAATCTCAGTGTTGACAAGCTTTTCACCAAATCCAGAAAACTGCAAATAAAGATGGACTTACTTTCCACAGCGTGCACTGCAGAAAGAAGAGAGAAGAGTCACTGTGATGAAGCAGGTAGACAACAAAGCAGGTCATATTTACGTGTGGGAGGAGAAGGAGGGGCTGCTGGGGCTGCACAACACTGACTGACATTTCAACCTTACTGTTGGCTCACTTTATATTGTTAGACATGAACATTCATGTATGTGGACGCAGCTCTGTGGTCTCAAATCTGAGATCAGAGCTGAACTCATTGAGGTTTCATCTCATCAAAGAGGATTATCTTTGATTAAACTCTGAAGGATCAGCTCTAAGAAGGGGCGTGGCCTCTGTCAGGATGGTCGTGCAGCCCCAAACACATGGCACAGATGTAATACTCAGGCGGGTCCAGGCTGGGGGGAGTTTGGAGTCAATAGAGGTGAGCCTCGTTTGATAGAAGTGATTCTCGTCTCTTTTTTCTGCTACTGAATATTCAGATTTACAGACAATCTATCGTGTGGCAGAGATGGAGGTCAGGAATCTCACAACACCAACACGTGCAGCTGAAACTGCAGCTTTCTGGGGAATCTTGTTCTTGTGTCCAGATTAGACATGGTTCTATTTGTGGCTGCTGTTAATTTCCTGCTCAGGGTTAACATGCGTGCATGCAAACAAACAACAGAGGACAAAACAAGCGAGAGAGACAAATGAAGATGGAAATACTCAAATAAATAGGTGCTAAAGTAGTCTTGAGCAGGTTATTATTCATCCAGGTCATGGTGATCCAAGTCTTTGTTGAAAGAGAAACTGGATATTTTGAGGTTCTTGGAGACAATTTGCCTCCTTCAAATACCTCAAACTTTTACCCTCCTTAATATAAACAATATTAGACTCTTCCACAATATTCTGTATCATGCATTAGCTGTTGTCTTAAGAGCAGCATTACTCCTCAACGTCTGCAAAAGACACTCATCAGTTGCACCTTGGTGCATGCCTGAATTATGACCCGGACTAGAAAACAAACTCTGAAGCTGTGGTTAATCTGGGCTCACAGAATCCTGCAGGGATCAGATCACCAAAAACTAAACTTTAACATATTTTGCATGTTCTGATGAAAATCACGAGATTCAGCTAATACCTACAAATGTGTTTGCAAAGCTTTGGATGTGCAGGGTTTATGCAAAACAAGATTAAACTCACTCCACTGTTGCTATGGCTCTGAAAAGGTGTGACTCTTAGAGACATCAGGGTTAATCATGAGGGCTTGGACTCAGACATTCGCTGTAGTTTTAATGAAAGATTTTTATGTATACTAAACTTCTCTACAGCAGCTCCTCACATCCCAGTCTTTGGTCCTGAAGAGCAACATCTCTGGATTTAACAAACTTGGCATTTCAACAACCAGAATAAAAGTCATTAATGTGCTAACACAAAACTCAAACTTGATGTCTTCATCAGAGCAAAAAAAAGGAAAGATTCAGCATAGGGCTGAGCTGAGAGCTATAAACAGAGGTGGATGAAAGTGAGATGTTTGATACCACGATGAGATGAGCAAAGGAAAAAAAACACACCGACAGATGGATGTTTCTGAACACCCTGTATCTTAAGTCTTATGTGCGGAAAGTGGACTTTTACTGATACCTGATTTTGGCAGATTAATGCCCTCATGTTCACACCTGTAAAGACCACAGAGTCTCTGCTCTAACAGAGTTTACCTGTTGGTGTTAGAATCTGACCTAAATTTAGACGAGTCTGTTTGACAGGACCATAAATGATCCATTCAGGATGAGGATTTCTGACAAGCACAGTCAAGTCTGAGTCCATGACATGTGTTGTTTTTCCTCCTCCTCACATCAGCTGGACACTCGGATCATCATCAGTGTATCTGGTTTCACAGACTAACCAGACAGGGGAGGTCCGGTTCACAGCTGACTATCAACCTACTTGTTCCTGTGGGACCACTCATATGAAAGAAGCAGATGAAGTGGCATAAAGCCGATGCAGACATGGGCAACTCTGCTGCCAATACTTCATATACTTCATAAACTCAGAGTTACAGACGGAACTGAAACCTGGTTCTCCTCCACATTTTCTTAAACCCTTAAGTTTGAGTTTTTCGATTCTATTGGGTCCTCTGGGTCCACCTCAGGAATAAATACGGGGTGTTCAAAAGCATCTGTAGTTTGTATGAGTGTGTGTCAGACTGAAGGTCTTACCATGAACATGAGACTGCTGGAAACTTTTCCCAGGAGCAAAGTGGAAATTCCCCGCCACCTGAAACACAGAAAGAGGGGAGAGAGGGAATCGAACCGGGGTGCTTTAAAGGACACCGATGTTTATTCTTCTAAATTTCTAGGTCTTGAGTGTTTTAGTGCATGACTTTGCTCCATCTGTATGAGCATATGAGAAATAAAAAGTGTAATAAAAAGCTATAAATACTGCATGTTCATCTGGAATAGTTGTTTGTGTTTCACTCAGTTATACATTTGCTTTTCTGGCAGTTTTGCACAGTTAGAGTTTTTTCCAACAGGTATAAACAGAAGAGTGCTGCAGCACCTTGTTGACCTCCAGGAAGCCATAAACTTGGCAGCCTTCGTTCTTCTGCTCTTGCATCTTCTGCGTGAACCCCTCCCTTTTACACTGCTCGATGGTGTCGGCACTCTTGAACGCCCATCCCCGCCGCCGGTACGCCTCACGCACGTCGTCGCAGGTGTTACAGCATCTGCAAAAACAGGTGAAGGAAAAGAGTCAAAACACTGAAGCAGTGAGGAAAGAGACTGCGTGTCCGTGTTTGCAGGTCTCCTACTTCAGGTCTTCAGTCTCAGCTCCGTAGCAGCTCTCACATCTGTTTGGGTCCAGAGTGCTGGGGTCAAAGGTTTCACCGTCGTCAGCCTGACCGAGTTCTGCACAAAACAAAAGAAGGATTCTGGTTTAAGACCAGGAGCAGTCCATGAGCACCAGGAGGTCTACAGTCAGAATCTAGATCATATCTACCGTGTCTCTCTGCCTCGTCTGTGACCGGTTTCAGATCTTTGTCCAGACGCTGTTTGAACAGATTGTGTTCAACATCCAGCTGCTGCTCTCCAGCCACATCCATCGCATCTATACTGAGATCTGAGAGAGCACACAGTAGGAGGAGGACTCATGTGAGAGTATTTCATCTCTGAGGTGAAGAGTCATGAAGACAGACAGGGTCAATGTAAGAAGCTGGTTCTATTGAGGGTCATTCTTCAGTGTTTTACAACCTTGATTCTGCACTTACTTAAAAATCATTCAAAGACAACATATGAAAAACACCACAGTGGTCTGTTACTCTGGTTTTACTAATATCTGCACAAATGAACTGGAACCTCTCTGGACCTGAGTTTGTCTGAGATGAAACTCTTCTTGGAAATCATGGAAACACTGCAGGAACCATCAAACGTCTAAACTTCTTTATTTAAATAAAGGTAAAAACTGTATGTATGTGATTCAGAAAATGTGTTGGTGCTTTATTTTGTTTAGAAGAAGTTTGATCAAACTGTCAGGGTGAAAGGGTAGAAGAAGTGTGTCCCTTTTTTTAAACTGAGCAAATGTAATCTGCAAATTTTTCATGTAATGATTATTTTCCTTCAAATCATTCAAAGTAAACAATCATGACGAGGTTTTACATCAGAGGTACTTACAGGCACAGGGCATGTGGGGAAAAATGATGTCGATGTTGATTTTGAGTTTGTCTCCTCTCGATGTGTCGACGTAGAGCTCGGGGTGAACCTGCAGGAAACAAACAGCACATGAGTTGTAAAATTAAAGTGTCAGACAATATTTATAGAAATGTGTAAAAACCACAGAGTGAGGTTTCCTTAAAAACAGAGTTAGTCTGAGGCACTGTTTGGATTTAGGATACTTTTGTTTTTCTGCAGAGCTGAACAATATGTTTGACATCATTTCCAGAAAGAAACGGAAAAAAAGTCTTTTGTGCAGATGTTTCTGTTAATTTTTTTGTACATGTTTGACTTTTCTGGAAAAAACTGTTGCTGAAAAATAAACATGAATTAACACTTCTGAACTTCAATGTTAAAAGAGTCAGGACTGAAAGTTAAACTGTTTTAGTGAGTCTGGTTCTTCTGAAAGAGTTTTAACTGTGAATGGTATGATGTGTTCAAACTGCCTTTCTGGAGGTGAGTCAATAATTAAGACTGCAGAGTCCAATCTCACACTTTTGTGTCTTTACTGGGAGCTTTCAGCACACTGCAGTGTGGGTGTTTGTTTGAGGGGACTCCTCAGACTGGTCTGACAGGAACTGGTTCCTGAAAGCAGTTTTTAGTTCACCTCAGGCTGCCGTTCTTATCATCGCTGAAATCTCTCTTTAAGAGTTTGACAGAAAGTAAACTTTGTGGAATTTAAGGACAGATGTATCATCAATGTATCATCATATTCTGCGCTCAGTTTGAGAATCCTGTTTTTTTTTTACCACATAGAATACAATTAAATATATTTTCACAATTACCTGTCAAACAATGAAATAAAACTTGAAGGTAATAACGTCTGAGGTGTTTATTTAGCTCTATATACTCTGAAATCACAAATATCAGTATTTCCTTGCCTCATCGACACTGTCCATCTGCTGCCATCATAAAGAGTTGGGCATGAAAACCTTCAGGAGACCATCCCTCACACCTAATGTAGGAGAGACAGACTTTTTCTTCTTCTCTGGTTTGTTGTGAGTAGAAGGATGTAACACCTGTTCATGAGGTTACAGCTGCGTCCCCATCTTTATCTGCTGATTAGTGTTTGTGACACATCATCTCATCGTCTACAGAAGTTTGGGGATTGTCTCGTAGTTGAGATATGCCTCGAGTTCTTCCACCAAACTTGTTAAAAATGCTTCAAAATGTTGATCCACAGAAGTGGGCAACATGCATGAAAGAGTTCATTTACATTGAGCAGAGGTCTGTGCATGTTACAAAAAAAAGCATTCAAATGTCAAATTCTGTTTGTTTTCAAGCCTTTAAGGGAAGCCCAGTGTCCTACTCTGCCATATAGCACTGATCAAAGTTAAAAGTTTGTCTTTTTTTGGACTTTAAGTCCCTGTGATTTGTGCTAAATGTAACTTCAACTTCAGTTTTCACTCCTGCAGAAAAAACAGATTAAATAATCTGATAAACTCACCTCTTTAGTGAGATAATACTGCAGCTCAGAAACAAATAGGATCAACATGATGACGCCGCTGATGATGGTCACTGCAGGTAGAAAGAGAGAGAGAGCGAGAGATCTGTGTTCAAACTGTAAGAGTGAGAACTTAAGGGAGCACCAAACAGAGAGACAACATTTAGCAAGTTCCCTTTGTGAAAAATCAATACTCATTTCAAATTTGATACCAGTAACATGTTTCTTACAAAAAAGTTCTTACAGAGGAACAACCAAACAAGTCAAAAACAGCTGGAAGAACATCCCCAACTAATGAGGTGAATGTCCAACAGGTTAGTCACATGACTGAGTCTAAAAAGGACCTTCAGAGAGGCTGAGTCTCTCAGAGGGAAAGATGGAAGAGGTTCAGCACTCTGTGAGAGACTGTGTGAGCTAACAGTTCAACGATTTCAGAATAATGTTCCTGAGTGGATTTCATCATCTACAGTACATAATATCATTCAAAGATTCAGAGGATCTGGATAAATCTCTGTACTAAAGGGACAAGGACCAAAACCAAGACTGGATGGTTCTGATCTTCAGGGCATTAAAAACAGACAGGACTCTGGAGTGGGAATCACCGCACGGAAAGGACAAGTGGACTTACTTGAGACATTTCGCCTTAGGCAAAACATCTGAAGTTAGTCCAGTTACTCTTTCAACAAAGAATTGGAAATCATAGATGCCACATCCTCAGTTTTCACAAGTAGAGGGTCCACCCGGCATCCCTGATGGTCTGGGACTGGGTATCATTAGAGTCTATGTCATGGGTATCTTTCACATCTGTGAAGGCTCCATTAAAGCTGAACAATATCTCCAGGTTTAGGAGCAACATCTGCGTTCATCCAGACAATGACTTTTTCAAGGAAGATCTTCATATGATCCCAAACCACGTTCTGACAACAGGGATTACAACAGCATGGCTCTGTTGGAGAAGAGTCCTGCTGAGAAACTGGACTGATGCAGTCCTGACTTGAGCCCCATTGAAAACATTTGGAGCATCACGTTGATGTTTACAGTTTGTTCAATGAGTGTGACACAATAGTAAAGGTTGTTTCTGATGCTTGACTTCCACTCTTCAGAAAATAAATGTCAATAAATTGCTTCTTTATATTTTTACTCTTTGAATGATTTAGTTCATTTGTGTTTTTGCATGTATAATCCTGTGCTGTTCTCACATATATACAGATCTCACCTCATCTTAATTATAAACCACACTGACAGGGTTGCAGACAGATAAATTATTTGGAATGTTTTGAGTCCAGTTTGTACATATACTATCATCTTTGCCGTACAGAGGCTTTTATTCCTGACTGTAGGAGTCTCATGTTCTGCTGTCTCCTGGTTCAGTCAGCGTTGAAATGACTGTTTCAGACAGAAACTTTGTAATATCTGATATATTTGTGGAGTACAGAGACAGTACTGTTATAGTTGCTGATATATTCCTGGTATTCAGAGACAGTACTTTTATAATATCTGATATATTTCTGGTATACAGAGACAGAGGGCTGTGTTAGCTGTGTTGTTAGCCGTGTTAGCTGTTAGCCGCTACTGCTGCTCCTCTCTCCTCTTTATAACTCTCTTACCGGTCGCTCCTCCCCACGTCTTCACTCGGAAATCCTCCAGAGTTTTGGGATACGCGTCAAACTGCTTTAGTTTATTTAACGTGTCCATTTTCTGCTCCAGAAATCCACCACTGAGCACAGACGCTGCCGACAGACTCCTGCGCTCCAGCTACTCATCAGTCCGCCGCTTTCACTTCCGGAACACGCAGGGCTCAAGGCACGGTTCCACCAATCAGAGCAGGCCGCGTGAGCCTCGTTTATGTTTGAGTAAAGAGACGGATTTTACAATTGAACCTTACATGTCCAGGTGCTCAGGTATCTGCAGGACTCCGGGACATGGAGGAAAGATGTGGTTTTTAAATGACATGTTTAAAGAGTTTCGACTGCCTCCATACTCGGGTGTGTAAATTCGATTTATAACATTTCACTGTTTTTAACTGTAGAACTAAAGGAAACTAACTGTTATTTTTTTTTTAAATAAAAAGAAAGAAATGGCATAAAAATATTTTAAATCCGTGAAGGTAATATTGGAAGTATTTCATTCAAGAAATGTAAATGTCTCCAAAAATACCTGAATTCCAACAACAGAAGTAGAACATAACATACTTATTGCATTAACCTGAAGGCAGAAGAGCAGAGAAAACAGTGAACAGTTAGGAAACATTGAATGAGTTGATTTTAATTTATTTAGCTTGGATACCCCAACACATATGTAAACACACACACACACATATATATATATATATATATATATACAGTATATAAATAGTTCCATATAACTTGGCTTTTTTTGTGTTTTTATCTGTTTATGTCTTGTATATACACACTTTTGCATTCACTGTAATTGCACTTTAACAGTCAATTAAACCCTAAATCTAATTGTTAAGGGTAATAACAAGATAAAAAACATTCAAATGTAAAATATTTTTGATGGAATATATATATGTGCTCATTTTTAAACCAATATTTTTTTTTAATTGCCCCCCTCTTTCCAAGCTATCACAAATTTTCCCTTTTTTTTCCCCACTCAGTGTTAAAATAAACCTCAAGTCTCTCTTTTATCTGTTTCATGAATGAGGATTGTGAAGACATGCAAAGAAAAGACTCACGTTTCCAATACTTTAAGTTACGATTTTACTTTTTACAGTGTAGAAATATTAACAAATAAACAAAAACAGAAAAGATGATTCAATAATAGGACACAAAGTTTAATTTAAAGTTTAGTTTTAAGGTAAAAATGATCAGTTTCTTATACAGGTGTAAGTGAAAACTAAGCTGTTGAATCCAAGTGTCACGTTTGTTTAGAAAAAGACATTCAGACACTGTTGAGAACATTTACATGTAACCAGTCCTTCTTGACATCCCACGTCTTCAGCATCTCTCCTCCTCTTCCTCCACCTCCAGCTGTAGATAAGAGGCTTGGTTCGGTTCCCTCTGCACCTTCAGCTGACCTCCAACCTCACGACCAACCCTGAGGTCAGCCACAGCCGTCTGAACCAGCTGCAGACGAGACTCTCTGAGTGAACGTCTCAGTTTGGCACGCCGGTTTTGAAACCAGATCTAAGCAAAAGATGGAGGATTCAGGACACCAGGCCGAGGAAGCATGGTGGGGTGTTTTTCTGTTTTCAATACAAGTGTAAGAGTTATTTCTGTTTTAGATAAAGTGCTCACTGAACCTGTATCCGGTCCTCGTCCAGGTCCAGCCTCTTTGCTACCTGCTCCCTCAGCTGGATCCCTGGATAACAGTTCATCTGAAACACGGACTCCAGGACTTCCACCTGCACCAAACACACAGATTGACAGTCTGAAGACAAAGCTTTATGTCTTAGATTAAGATCAAATCTCTGTCAATATTAAAAAAATTTCTCTGGATCCCTCTGTCTGAATGATCACCTGACTGACTGATTGGCTACCTGACTGCTGGTGAAGGCTGTTCGAGGTCTGCGTCCGATGTACCAGCTCGATGAGGGTCTGACAGAGTTCAGCTCTTCATGTTGATGAAGGTCATGGTGATGATAGTGTTGTTGTTTTGGAGACAAGCTGTTCCCTCTGTTCTCTTTCTCTGCTCCGGCCTCTAAACTCACCAGAAAATAAAAATATATTTATGATCACTGTGGGACAAACATGTTTCTAAAGATTTAAGAACAGGTAAAAAGAGACTTCTCTAGACCTGAGCCCATTTAAGGTGGGCTGAGAGGTGACTAAATCAAAATTTTACATTCCTTTTGGGCGTCATGGAAGAGTCCAACTTCTCCACCATGACTGAGCCTGTTTATAGAAAAGTAGACCGAGGAGGAGTGAAAGAAAGTCCTAACGGCTGATGGATCTACGCAGTCCTGACTTGTCCCCCATTGAAAACATTTGTAGCATCATGACCCCCAAAAACAGGACCAAGGAGACCCTGATATGTTGAGCAGCTGAAATCCTTTATCAGGACCACATGTGATTTTCAGACTCCTGAACCTGGTCTGCTGGGTCCACTAAAGTCTACACAGAGTTGGTGAAAGAAGAGCTGATACTTCACAAAAACACATTATTACATACACATGAGGAGATATCTAAAGTTTCTGTTCCTCACCTGTCCAGGGTCGGTGGAGTTTCAGGCAGTTTTCAGGTCTCTGCAGTTCCAAACCCAGAATCCTCTCGATGGAAAACATCGACCTGTTTTCTGCTGGAGCCTGAGTGGACATCATGATGACTGACTGGACTTTAAAGTGTCTCTGGAGAACGACTGATGTGTTCCTTTAATACCTTTAACAAGTCAAAGTTACTCAGACTTCACTGTGAAATTCAGAAAGAAGAAAGGTCCATTACTGAACTTGTTTTGAAAGAAATATAGAGGCGTGGGTTCCACTGTAGACCTATGGACTACGGCTGACAGAGCAGGTGAGCGGGTCCTGAAGTGTGAAGCAGCAGAAAGACGACTGCTGATTTAAATGGGAGTAGAGGATTTACACTGGCCACCAATTAGAAGTTACGAGTGATTTTTCCATGAGAATCAGAGTCCCTGAGGCTCCATACAGGAGATAATCTCTGCCCTGTCTGAGTGGGAGTGTTACTGAGGAACAGCATATGTAAATGTTCAGTTTACTTAGCCAAACTAATGAATGCAACAGCTCTGCAAAAACAGTTTACAAACTTTGCAGGAGACACAAGACAGTTGGTGTGTATCTGAACTGGGTTTTCCCTCACGCACTTTGCTGTATGGGTGCATTTGTGCGATTAAACCCGAGTCACCAGAGTCTGAAAAAGTGAATCCTAATTGCCCTTTTCTTCTGAATTACCAAAGTAGAAAATCAGTTTAATTTCAGACTAAAAAGGGCCTCCTTTGGTTTTAGTTCCATGGCTATGTTCATTCTAATAATTGCAATAAAAATGATAATTTTTGCAGTAGTGGTGATCCTGTGAGATCCTCTAATGCCATTAGCCTAATCTGTGTGTTTGGATGCAGATGAAGCTCGTCATGTCTGAATGCAGGTCAAAGCAGCAGGGAGGAAAACCTTTTCAGAGGCAGATTAGCTCCTAATGAAGGCCTGGAGCAGCTTTAAACTAACAGCACACATGATTATTTAGCTCTGAATGAAAGGGAGGATGCATGTAACGGTGTGATGGCTACAGGCAAGAGGAAGTTAGTCCAAACACAACATAATTTTGGGAAACTGACTTATTCACTTTCTATTATCTGTTAGCAATCGGTTCTCTGTTTGTAAAGGTGGAGCAGGGAGGAGAAGATCTGGGTTTACACTCACACTTAAAGGTCAAAGTCCGATCTGTACAAATACAGCAAAAAGGTACAAGTTTAGTTTTCTGTCTGTGGGGCCAGTGATACTCATAAGACTGACTCGAACCACAACAAGCTCAGGGATCCCTGTCATTGTTAAAACTTTCACTAAGTGTAAACACTCTTAAATTCTACACCAGAAACATGTTAAAAAGGAGGTCCAGGTTCAGATTTCTTATTGTGGGTCATCAGTTCTCCTGTAGACATTTGTAAACCCAACAGACCAGGTTCTGGAGTGAAGTGCTTATCCATGATTTCCAAAAAGACTGTCAGAGTTTGATCCATCAGACCTCAGTGCAGTTTTTCTCTTCCCCCTCAGTCCTCCACAATAGGACTCAGGTCCAGAAAAACCTTAAGATATTGTTTGAAACTAAGGATACAGTATCTATGATGTCCTATTCTTTGTTGAAGGGCAACTGGACGTGCTTGAGTTGTTTCACCTAAGGCAGAACGTCCCAAGTAGGTCGAGTTGTCCTTTCTGAAGGAATGTCAGATTTAGATCTCTCAGATTTGACCCCAGTCTGGATTTCTTGTGAGCTTCCGGAAAAAATCATCAAAATGTGGGTGAAAAACACTTTGATTAATGATAAGTAAGCTAAATATGGGACTTCCTGTTAAGTGAGGACAGAAATGTCTTTGAACTACTTCCATTCAAGAACACAGAATGATGTTAATTTCCCAGAATTCCAAAGAGTTGGTGTTGTTTCAGTCACCTGCTCAATAAAATATCGGCTCATTAGTTTGTTCATCATCACTTTATTAAATATTTACATGATAGGTGTAGATGCAAATAAGTCAGACAGAAATACATGGGCATCATTTTCAAGGTGAAACAAAACAAACCCCACACAAACGAGTTTCCTTTCAGATAATTTATTTTGTACAGTAAAACTGAAGTCCAGAGGCTGCCTTTGATCCACTGAGTGGCCCAGTGGAGGACTAGGGACCGCCTCCCAGCCTTCCTCTGGTAATTGAGTATTTTACAAAGATGGACGACCAATCAACTTCTCAGTTAATTGCAACAAAGTTTCTGAAATGAGATGTCATGACGTGGACTGCCAACAGTGATGACTCAAAGCAGATAAAACAAGCAAACTTTGTGGAGGGTGCGTTCAAGGACCCCACAACTCTCTGACCCACAACTTATTATGACTAAAATAAAGGCATTTCTCTGTAGGAACAAACATAGAATATATACTCTTATGACTCTACCCAGCTTTAGAAAGGCATGTGTGTGTCAGCTGTTCTGTCTGCATGTTCTCAGAGAGGTGAGTGTTGTGAGGTGGTTGAACGCTGCCTGCCCACTCTGGTAGTTTTTAGGCCCAGGTAGGGGTGCGTTATATCCGTTTACTTTGGAGGTTTGTAAGCGATCTTCCTGCTCTTCAGCACAGACCACCTGTGTCTCTTCATGTAGTAGATCAGAGGGACGAGGATGGCCGAGCCCATCAGCAGCTGGAGGGAGGGAGGGAGGGAGAGAGAGAGAGCAGAACTATCAGAACCACGACAAGGTTTGAGATTTATCAGAACCCCGTTAACCATTTTTAAAGGTCTGAATGTAACCGGACAGCGTTGAGTAGATATAAGGAAGCTGGAAGTTAAAGGGCAGCCACAAATATCAGACACGGTTAATATGAGTCTGTCTGTCTGTGTGTGTGTTACCTTCAGTCCCATGCGTTTGCGTTGGTCATGCTCCGGCTCCGCAGCCCACCTCAGGAAAGTACACACATCTTTAGCGACCTGACTCATGGTGGCAGGAGTTCCTACGGAGACAGAAACACACACAACCATCACATATGTGTCGGGGCGACATGGTTCATCATAATCAGCTTGCTTATCTCTGATGACTGCAGCTGCGGTTCAGTTTTATCGAGGTCTTAGTGCATAACTAAAATCTAAAGTTCTGTTTTAGACTCTTTTAAAGCGTCCCGAGGAAGACGGTAATAACAAACACATGCTTGTTTTCAGGGAGATCCTGATCAGTCCTGATCCTGATCCCAGGTTTTTCTCTCCAACAGTAGTCTGCAAACCAAAAACTTATAACATTTTTCACACTTAAGAATTAGACTTCAGTTTATACTGATGCCTTTTAATAATATAAAAGCCAACAAGACCAGCAACAATAAGACTGATTATTTTTAACAAGAAACCAATGTGAGAGGGTGGGTGAACGTGGTACCACTAAAAAACCTGGTTTCATGGTTTCAACATTTGATATTTGGGGGAAAAAAATGAAGTGTTTGCAGAATGAGGTTTTTGTGAGAAGACACGACTTAGCCATGTTGAAGACATCTAAGCAAACTGACATAACCTAAAAGTTCCTTACAGGACCTTTAAATAGACTTGATTTGATCATTTGCACCTGAATCTCATCTTTTTCTACACACTGGATTATAATACGAACTGATCTAGACCCGGTTCATTGTAAGGAGGAGGAATCCATCATGGTGTAAATCACCGCCTGTGTTTTCACCAACTCTGCCGTTCAGCTCCTGAGCTGGAGAGTAGAGACAGCAGATCGTACCGAGTAGATCGTTGGGCTGGAGCCATGAGTTCATCCACCTGCACTGTTTTGACTCTTTGACTCTCTCCAGGATATTTATCCTTCCTTTGAAAGTCCAGATTTTGTTGCTTGGACGGCAATAGTGAACTGTTGTTTTCTACTTGTCATATTAGTGGTAATGATAGCAGTTCTACCATAGAACAGTCCAGACGCAGGTATTACCGGTGTCTTCTGGACTTGTTCTCATTTTAGTTGAAAATATTTTCATGCCACTGATGTTTTAGTCAGATGATATCTGATGCTGATGTAACAGACTGTCCTGTGTTTATGGTTTTGCCTTTTTGAAGTGTCCCTGCAGAGTTACCATAGGCTATTGTAAAGCTGGCACATCTGCCTCATCAAGTGTAAGTTTGGGCTGCAGTTCCACATGGATGTCCTGTCTGTTATCATCTCATTAAACATTTACATTCAGGTGGATCCAGAACCTTTGATGACACAAAGTTACTGCTGTTTGTGTTCTGTACACACTGAGCTTAATATGAAGCTGACATGAATGATTGGAGGGAGATGATTGGTTCAAAGACGTCCAGATCAACCTCAGCCCCATTATTTCTTCTTTTTGGCTCACTGTGAATCAACAGTCCAGAAACATTAAGTACACAAACACACATCTTTGCTCACCGTCATCATACTCCAGCACCTCGTTGTAGATGGGTGGGGCCATGCCGATGGCCTGTCCAGGGAAGTATGGGTTATAATACAGTCCCTCTCTCACTGTCACTCCTGCTGGAGGCTCACAGTACCCTGTCAATAGGCTGAACACATAGTCCTCTCCTCCATGTCTGAGGACAAACACACAGGTCAGTTACAAACTCTTTTACCTTCTCGAGCAAGTGAGCAGCTTTTCAGTCTTTTTTCTGTCACCTGGCATTAACGATGTAGCTGAGGTCTGGAGGCAGGGCTCCGTTGTTGGCGACCCTGGCGGCCTCAGGGTTGGGATAGGGCTTAGGGAAATAGTCTGACAGCTTTCCTGGCCTAGTGAACATCTCTCCACTCTCATCAGGTCCATCTACCACCTCCACCTGAGCAAACACACATACACACACCACTTGTTAAAAACACCTGATATAACACAGGACACGTTCTGGTGGCACCATCTACTGGCAGGACTTTGTGATAACAACAAACGATGACACAGTGAGTCCAAACAGAAAATCCTGACTCAGTGCACAGATTCACCTCCTCGGCGATGGCTTTGACCTCAGCCTCTGTGTGCGACACTCCCACCAGGTTTCTGAAGGCCAGGTACTCCATACTGTGACAGGCCGAGCACACCTGCTTATACACCTGGTACCCGCGACGAATACTGCAAAGGCAGAAAAGAAAGCAGAGAGTCAGGGGGTTTCCTCTCGGGAGGATAGAAGATGCTAAAAATGACAAATAAGTAAAACTTAGTGTGTCAGAGAGGCACCCAAGGTCTGTTATTTTCACTGGCTTCTCATCCATAACATAGAAGAGGTGTGTATGGATATTAGCAGAGAGTCTGCTCTCTGTTTTGTCTGATTGTTTTCTTAATGAAATGATTTTATGAGCATTAATCATCAAGGATTATGAAGCTGCTTGTCAACAGCTGCAGACTGACAATGAAAGAGATCCAGAAACATTTTCATAATATTCTCACATTTGTGCTGTATGACAGAGATAGTGTTTAAAAATCACAGACTCTGAATGAAGCATGTGTTTATGTTTTATACCTAGCATGGTCCAGCGAGGACAGGGGTCCAGCGTGGCTCCAGGGGTAGTTAGGGGGATGGAGCTCCAGGTCCGAAGCCTTGACAGATTGGTGCAGCATCAGAGCGAGCCCAGCCCCACCCGCTGTGATGACACCGAACGTCGACAGGGCGACCTTCCTACTCCTTGACATGCTGGAAATCGACATGTTGGCCTACAGAGAAGGAGTCATGTTTCCTGAAGTGAAGCAGTTATCTACAGAGGAGACGCTCTGATCATTCTGCTAAAAAGATTCTCACCACCATGAAAAGAGAGTCTGCAATCCCCTGATCTCCCTATATGTTGACTTCAATGTTTAACTGAATAAACATGCATACTGGGACATCACACAGATGATTTAAAAATCAAAGATATTCTTAAAACTGTGTCATCAGTCAAAATCAGCTGCAAATCCATAGCTGGTGGCTGAAACATGCAGTTATCTCAAATTTATCACATATTTCATCAGAATTATGACCCTGCTTGAATACTGTGAAATTATACTATTTATTCACCAGCAGAAGCTTCTTGTTTAAAATCTTAATGTAACTGTTTTCTCACCAACTTAGGTGCTTTTTAAACACAAACATATCAAGGTATCACACTGTTTTATAGCAAATAGTCAAAAAAGGAAAAACTTGAAAATTTGACAACTTTAGAGCAGAGTTATTACACTCACTCAAAGGACTCTGCTGTGTTTATTAATTTTCTTTGTTCTTTTTGTGTTGACTGAGCCATATCGAGAGATTTCTGTAATTATCAATGGAAGACAAACTGCTGGCGGTTCACTTTTCATAGCTTCAGTGTCCCAATAAAGGCAGGATCATCTTCATTGTTCTTTTCTAAATTAACAGACTCAGATCTGAGATTTGATGACAACTGGAATAGTATTCGATAAAACTCAAATTGGATTAGATAAGATACAACTTTATTATTCATAACGTTATTTGACACCTAACTCTGGATCAAGTTGGCACGAAGTCTGTTAAGGGCTATCATGGTTTTAGTACATCACCATAAAAAATAATAACGTCAAAATATTTTATTATATTGGATGTTTCTTCAAATTCTGTTTGATCCGGCGCCCTTGTTTGTAGTTGTTCCACTGGTTCTTATGAAACTGACCTCCACCGGTGGTTCTGTAAGAGGCATCACATGACAGCATCCCCGCACCTACGCTCTCTCACCCACACACACGCAACCATCAATGTCCTGCACTCAGAGATAACGCCCAGTGACATCTATTGATACATGACTGAACTGTAGTGTGCTGAATATAACTATATTAATAACTATATTATTAAAATATATAAATACCTTAATAAACCAGCAGATGTAACAGAAACGAGGACGGTAGATCACCTAAACTAACCCTTAAACTAAACTAACCTTTTAATGATGAAAATGACCTGTCGGAAATAAACACCTGGTGACGCGATAGCCAGCTTATGCAGTCACCGGAAGTCCTTACAGTCCTTGAGATGCTAACTCGTTAGCATGCTAATATCTCTACAACTTTAACATGAAAACGTCCGTCAGAAAACATGGATCACATCAGAGGAGATAGATAAACAATCCCCACTATTATACACCTTTACATCTGTGGTTCTGATCTCTTGATTCAGACCAGATTCTCAGGCAGGACCACCGTAAACGGTCCGTTAGTAGAGGGGTACACCCGGCACCGCGAGTTAGCTGACCGGCTAACTTCACAGCAAACTGTGAGGCAAATATCACAGGAACTGACACCAAATTAGTCCAAACAGTCAGAGAAAGATGACATACTGTCAGAGGAAACACATAGGCATGTTAAACTACAGTATAAATTAGAGGGAGACTCAGTGACCTTGCCTAACCCCACAGAGACCAGACTGACATTAGTTCCGAGTTTAATGTTAAAAAGACCAGATGCAATCTTCCAATACTGATCTAGTGCTAAATAGAAGAATCCGCCATCAACCTACCGTCGGTGTCCGGATAGTTTTTGGTGCGTTCAGGAAAGTCCTGCTGCTCCCCGATAGAACCACGACCCGCAGCGCCGCCATCTTTGCTCCTCTGAGGTAGCTAATGCTGCACGAAGACAGACACAACTTGCTTCCGGTCAGAACCTTCAAAGTAAAAGGGATATAGGATATCCCGGATAATTATTTTTTTGATAGTTAATGTCAATAAAGAATTAGCACTGTTAATATGCCGCAAAAATTTCGCAAAATTGCGAAATAATTGACCAAAGAGATTTGCCATGGGAACACTGAGGTTACCTTTCTACTCATATTTTGAAGGAGACTCTCACGTGCCGAACGTTACACCGTATCTGAGCCAAATCTAGTGAACTTGATTATAACCTTACACAACTTGATTTTACGCAACCTTTTTTAAGCTTATTTTTGTAGTACGTTATAAAACATCACTTGATTTACGTGATAACGAAAGGTTCCAATCAAATCGCTGTCGTATCAGATACATCTGTTGGTGGTTCATTAGAAGTGAATGGGGGTTTTTATGGGCCCGCGTCTCTTTCTGGCTCTTCCGTGAATCTGACCCACATCGTGTACTGCGGCCACACTGAAAATCTACGATGACCGTGTCTTACTCGGGATTGATGCGTCTTATTTATGTCACTGTCTGCTATTTCAAGCTTATCCAGCGTGGTTTCTGAGAGAGACCAGGACCTGAAATGACTTTTGAATATAAAAACTTTATTGCTAACAGGCTCTGTCTAATGCATTCAAGTCTTTTATTGTCTCTAACATGTTTTCAGTTGTTTCATTTCACACATCAAACAGGCTTAACTTTCTCGATCCTTTTTTATTTTCTCTACTTTCATCAAAGAAAAATTTATATGAATAAAATCTTTCAATTTGAAGCCAAAAATCAACGATTTTGAGGAAAAACCTGGAGAATATGCATATTCTGTGTTTATAGTCATGCATTTTAATATTTCCAATTATCCAACTGTAATATATAAAATATAACAGCTTTAAATAATACTCCCAGAGCATTTTAACTCCCAAGTTTCCCATCCTTTATTTCTGTTTTGTATTTATGGCTCCTGTAACATGTCGATTTCCCCTCTGTGGTACTAATAAAGGAATATCTTATCTTATCTTATCTTACCTTATAATGTAGCCTGGTGAATATGATAAAATGCTTCTAGCAAATTTTAATGGATATTTTTAGATCTGTTACTTCTTTTTATTTACTTGTACTCTGTCCTCATAACACACAGTTTGTGGCAGGTTGTAAAATTATTCAAAACAGTATGTGATGATTTTAAAATTATTCACACACAGTTTTTACTGGCACATTGTACAAAGACACACAATTTAATGCTGAAACTGAAAAAAAAGAAAACTACTGCTTGTTCCAAATGTAATAATGTTGCTCCTAAACCTGTAGATATTGTTCAGCATTGACGGAGCCTTCACAGATGTGGAGTCCATTGCATGGACTCTGATGATCCCCATATCCTCAGGGGTGCTGGATTTGAACTTTTTTTGTAAGACCATCAGAGTTTTAGACTGTAAATGATTTGCAACCCATTAAAGTCTGTTTTTCTTAGCATTTTCCACAGTGTCCTCACTTTTTGTAATTAGGGTCATAGATAAATAACCTAAACATTGCAAAAAAAGAGCAGAAATAAGCCGAAAATATGACAGTAGGCAAAAAAAAAAAAATAGCTTGAATTTCTATCTTGGTACCAAATAGCTGTCTTACGATGGCCTTTGAGAACCTTGAAGAGCTTCATGTGACACAAACTCCAGACGGAAAAGAAACCAGAGCGAAGTTCAATCTGCTGTGCTGGAGCTGTCCAGGAGGTGGAGGCAGAGGGTCAAAATCACAGAGGCAAAAACTGAAGGCTGAGGAAAATATGTGTAAATGAACAGATTTTTGGTCTGTGGATGGTTTTACTCATGTTTGTATATAAAAGCTGATGCTTAAAGACCAGAAAACACGAAGTCTGTACTAAACTGTAAAAAGAAAAAGAAGTTAAAGCCTTTAAGGACAATAACATTTACAATATTTCATTGGTATCTTTATTTAGGGGATAGGTTGTTGCAGAATGTATAAGTTTTAAGGCCTACAAGAAAACTAAAATACAAACAAATGATGAGCAAGAGACCAAAACTTTGATTCTGCTCTGTAAGAATCATGGTTCACATGAGGGACTGTAACACAGGAGCAAATACTGGACAATTAAAGATGAATCATCTGAATACATTGACAAAAATATCACAGTTTCCTGGATTTATTAAAAACCTCATACCTCTGGGACAAATTTAGAGTCTGGGTCATATGAAGTGAAAGCTAAATAATGAAAGAACAGACATGCACTGCCTGAAATATTCAGACAGATAAAAACAGAGAGCATGTTTGAGTGAAGTGAAGTTGTTGTTCGGAGTAGCTGCAGATGGATGTTTGCTGTTTGACAGCAGGTAGAAAATAAAGTATTCAGCAGCTCCAGCTGAGGCTGTCATCGCCCGTCATGTTTGTTTGACAGGGAGGAAGTTTCTGCCGTGATGTCGGCAGGTATGTGCTGTGAATACGAGCCCACTGAAGACACGAGGACCACTGCTTCAGGCAAAACTGGAAACTCCAAACAAGCTGGGAGAGAATCAGAGAGTCTGAAGTCAAAGATCAGGGAACTCTGAGAGGGGTTCGGATGAACTTGATCAACCTCGTTTACCTGATTTGCCCGTTCGATCCTCTAACTAACTGCTTATTTCTGCCTTAATCAGACTTGATTCGTCACAACTGTTATAATCTGGTCTTGCTCTCAGGGTTGAAAGCTCAAGTGCAAAACTTTTTTCTAGTTTGCAGGATGTGGAAACACGGATGCAGAAACATTTGTTGTTAGAAATGTCCTGGTTAAAGAGACTGTAAAAGTTTGGAATTTACTCAGCAGTTTATAGAAAGTACATTAAAAAGTATATGTAGAAAGCAGTGGCGGCTGCTGGTCTTTCAAGGAGGGGAAGCTCATTTTTCTGGCCTACATCATAATTGTGTTTGTTTATTTGTATGTAACAGAACAGAGTCGCCAAACACAACGGCAGTCATTTTTAACAAAGACAAAAGTCGCTGAGGATCGGTAAAGTCTCCGGAGCAGTTAAGAACAACGGAATGAATAACTTGGAAAATGCTCTGGTAGATGTTTTATTCTTCAAGATCGCTGATTCGCTTGTTTAGCTGTCAATCAAAAAAAGGTTTCGCCTCAGACAGCTCATCCAATCATGGATGCAGAAGCTCAGCGTCCGCGAGAAAGTTGGGACCGCCCTCTCGTCATAGAACTCCAGAGACGCTGAGCGTCCGATGGGCGGGACAAAGCCCAGCATTTATCCAATGAGCGTCTACTTTCGCTGCTGGAACAACCCACTTTGAGCTTCCACATTGAAGTCAGCAGACGCTGAGTGTCCGGCTGTGTAAAGCTGCGAGGATGAATGAGAACGAAGTGGTGCCGGTTACCTGTGATTATCAGCTTCTTATCACAGTGTGATAAGAAGCTGATTCTGAACAAAAGATGAAGGCTTTCTAGCGCGTATTTAGTTAATGAAATGTACACACAGCAGTACGTATTTCACCACTTTTTCTTTTTTTGGGGGGGTGACATTTTAAGGGAAGCCGAGCTTCCCTTGCAGTCTTAGAGCAATCGCCACTGGTAGAAAGCATACTCCTGTCAGGACCAGGTGTGGGGATCAAAAACTCATTCCAGATCAGAACCAGTTGAACCAATTTGAACTCAGTTCACCTAAATGCTTACTGTGTCCTGATTGGTCCACTTACTTAAGCGCACCTCACAAAACAAAAACATGACGCACATGAGAAGCAGTCAGTGTGGACAACAGACAGAGCAAAGACAGGACTGAGGACAGGAATAGTCCAATATGCTGTCATATACAGCTTAGTCCTGTTACTAACATACACTACAGGCCAAAAGCTTGGAAGCAAGGCCATTACAGGCCAAACAGTTGGGAGTAACTTCAAGTTTTTGTTCACAATGCTGTTTTCAAAATCCAGTATGAGTTTTACGTATTTTGGGATGTATTTACTCCATGATCAGATGTTGCTTTCATGGAAATGCACCATTTTAATCCATTTCCCTTTAGATATACATTGATGTTAACAGACCATTGCTAAATATATGTCAGCAAAAGATAATAAGGGATTAGTTTTAGGGTTGAAAACATTTGCAAGAGTCACAACTTCAGTGCAAAAGCAAAAAAACAAATCACAGTTGTTCACTTCAACTTTTTGGCTTTTGAGAGTCTGCATACAAAAATCCTAATAAATCTCAACTGCGTTCAAAGTACCGCAAAAATGGCTAGAAAGAAGCAACTGAGTAAAGAAACAAAAGTACAGATTTGTTCATTGTGGATAGAAGGATACACAGAAAGAGAAATTGCAAAACGCCTAAAGGTGTTTAACAAAGGAGTCCACTTCACTCTGAAGAGACAAGAGGAACCTGGAAGTTATGATGATAGAAAAAGACCTGGACGAAAGAGAGTTACTACAAAAGCAGAGGATAAACATATCATTGTCACCAGTGAGAGAAATCGACAAAAGACACCACCAAAAATAAGGGAGGAAATCAACATGACAGAGTCAAAACCAGTATCTCTGACAACCGTGAAATGACGTTTGAGAAAGGCTGGTCTGAAGGGTTGTGTATCTGCAAAAATCACTACTTCGCCCACAGAACAAGATAAAAAGATATGAGTGGGCAAAAGTTCACAAAAATTTGAGTTATAATGACTAGAAATAAGTTCTCTGGATTGATGAAAGCAAGTTTGAACTGTTTGGTTCAAAATGCAGAGTCAATGTCTGCAGACAAACTGGTGAACGTCTGAAATCACCATGTGTTACACCCACAATTCAGCATGGAGGTGGTAGTTCCATGGTATGGGGATGTTTTGCAGGTGATGGAGTAGGAGATTTGTTTGAAGTAAAGGGTATCATGAAGAAGGAACACTACCACTCCATCCTCCAGCACCATGCTGTTCCATCTGGACTCAGACTTGTGGGTTATAAGTTTGTTTTGCAGCAAGACAATGACCCTAAGCACCCTGCCAAGCTCTGTCAGGGTTACCTAGACAAAAAAGAAGAGGAAGGTGTTCTTCAAAAGATGGTTTGGCATCCTTAGTCTCCAGACCTTTCTCCAGTTGAGCTTATGCGGGATTAATTGGATCGGTCGGTCAGAAAAACGCGTCCCACGAATAAGCAGTCTCTTTTTAATAAACTTAAGAAAGCTTGGAATGCAATCCCTTGAACATACCTTAAAAAACTTGTGGAACGAATGCCTGGTATATGCCAAGCTGTTGTTAAAGCCAGAGGAGGTTACTTGAAAGAAAGCAAAGTCTAAGCAACAATAACTCAAATACCTAATAATTATAGTCAAAATGTCTTCTGATAAGTTACTCTTTACACAATAGTCATGTTTATTGTGTTGCAAATTATATATAGGAAACTATGATCTTTTTTGTACAAATCTGATCTTGCTTCCAAACTTTTGGCCTGTAGTGTAAATGATGTTTCAGTATTTTTAAAGTGAGGTTCAACAACTCCAGTGAGTGTTTTAGCCACGATGGATGGCTAATCTCCTTCAGCAGTGCGGTCTCCATGCTATGGTGGTCTTTATATCCGGACTGAAGATCCTCCAATAAACCATTGTCATGAAGAAAATCACAACATTGATTCTTAACATCATTGAGTCTTTCTCCAGGATTTGAGAAGTAAAGGGAAGGTTTGATATCAGCCTAAAGTAAGCTAAGGTGCCTGAGTCAAGAGGTTTTTTAAGGAGAAGTTTAATCAGCACAGTTTAAAAAAAAAAAAAACAGAGAACATATCCTGTTAATAATGACATATTGATCGAGTTAAGCAAAGACGTACTAATTAAAGGAAGAGCTTCCATCAGCAGTTTAGGTGTAATTGGGTCTGAAAGACATGTTTAGCTGAATTTAGCTCAGGGAGGTCAATAAGTTCAAAGTTACAAGAGAAAAGCACCTGTTGACAGCAAGAGATTACAAATTTTACCTCTTATTTTTTAAGTTTTTATCATGAAAGAAGCTTACGTAGCCCCTGAGCTCTGAGAACAAAGACAGCACAGTCCAACCATTGAATGTTCAGGTTGGTACAGAAAGGTTTGATCGACTCTCAGCTAAAATAAATTGAACATAATCTCTGCTCTGATCACACAGGCCTCCACTGTGTTGACTCCTAACAGATGGTCCTTAAATGCACCATTCAGAGAGCGAACAGAAGCCAACTGCAAAATGAATGAAAGCTTCAACGTTTCCACTTCACTGTTGTGTCCGTCTGCTTGTTCTCATTACAGAGAGTGTTACAGTTGTCAGGGTCTGTTTACCTCACCTGACACACACACACACACACACACACACACACACACACACACACACACACACACAAACTGCGCTGCAGGCCACAGCACTTCACAGATGAAGAGAGAGGCTTACACACGCCAACATGCTGTAGTTGAAAAAAAAACATAAAATACTGACCTGACAGGGTCGTCAGGCTCTTTCTCAGCTGCTGATCATTCATTCAAACCTCCCAGAAGTGGGTCTAATCCACGAAACACTCCCTTTGGTTGGTTTAGTCCATGTCAGGGCTCTACTTGGTGGGTCTAGTCCAAATTAAAGCTTCATTGGGTGGGTCCAGTACATTTCACAGCTCCACTAAGCAGATCCAGTCCATGTCAAAGCATTGTTAAGTGGGTCCAGCTAAAGTCAAAGCTCCCTCAGGTGGTTGGACGTATGTTTAAATTAAAAGGTGTGGGCCAAGGACTGATCCTTGTGGGATTCCAAAGGTAACTTCTGCTCCTGCAGATTTGAAGTTGTCAATTAAAACATAAAACTTTGTTTCTTTTTAGTTGAGTGTCTTAAAAAAATAAAGGTTTTAGTAGCTTAACTGAAAACAGCCACTTTCACCTTTTGTCACATAAAACTGTCTCACAGCTGTTTTCAGATCAGGTTCTGTATTAATGTAAAAAAAAAAAAAAACCTCCAGCTGCATTTCAAACCTGACTTTTACAGTCTGGAAATTCACAGGTTGGATTTCTTTCATTGTTGACTTTCGTCACAGCTTGAAACAAAAGTACATCTGTTCAACAACATTTTTTCTGACCTGCTCCTATATATCATCTCAACAACCCTGCGAGTCCACCTCGCTGCAACCCGGGGGGAATCCTGCGCTGTGATTGGCTGAAACGTTCTCATTGACAGACTGTGGTGCTCAGCAGGACAGAGGAAGCCGCTGCTGATGTCGATAGTGATTACAGCAGCAGGTGAAATCTGCCGAGCTGCCGAGGCCTGAACCGGAGGCTCTCTGCGGGCCGTTGTCACCTCTAACAGCCAACAGGCTACCCATAATGCCACCTGACAGGGACGTGCAGCCAAGGAGAGCAGGACAAAGATTACAGCAGGACTCCTGTTAGTTAGTTTCAGGAGAAAGAATAAGAGACTGTGTTCAGACTAAACCTGTTTCAGGTGTCCACTTTCCTCCAAAGCCATGAACCTGTCCTGCATGGATCATTCCAGTCTCCAAAGGAGGTCTGAATCATGTGTCCCGATCGAAAACTAAACCAGGATTTAAAAAGTGTCCTCTGGATTATCATAAGACAACAGCGGATGGGTTTCTAGACTGTTTTGGTGCTGTAATTAAATATCTTTAATATCAGGGAGAAATTTAAAAATTTTTTTACAGACTTGCTTTACTGTGATGCCGTCTTTTCCATTTTTTCCCCTTTTTGTAAAAAAAAAATCTTTTATCTCTTTTACCTCTATCTTACTTCAACCTTTTAGCCTTTGTTTTACTTATAATCTTTTCTTATTTTGCCTTTTAGGCCCATTATTGATTTTATTCTTTTTTCCTGCTCATTTTTGTTATTTCATTTTATTATCATTATTAATATCCTCTTTTATATTTACTATCCTGTTTCCTGCTTTCTACCCCCCTTTTTCATTACATTTCTTTTTCTTACCTATTTTATGTTTTTATTTTGGTCCTCATGGTCACCTTTTATAATGTAATGTTCTTGTATTGTCTGGGTTTCTTATGACAAATGAAGTTGGCCTTTAATTCGGAGGCCTTATTTTTAACAGAGCTTTTGTTTTTTATTTGCAACTGTTTGTCAAAGCACTTTGTAAACTTCTGTTTTTAAAAGTGATATAAAAAAAGTTTTTATTACTATTAAATTAATTATATCTATCTATCTATCTATCTATCTATCTATCTATCTATCTATCTATCTATCTATCTATCTATATATATATATATATATATATATATATGTATATATATATATAGAAAATAAATAAAATAACATAAAGACCTTAAGACCTAAATAAACTGTTAATGCTGCACATATGTAATACACTGTGTGCACAATTATTAGGCAAGTGAGTATTTTGATCATATCGTCATTTTTATGGATATTTTCCAACTCCAAGCTGTATAAACTTGAATGCTTATTGGATATAAGCATATCTGGTAATGTGTATTAGTGTAATGAGGGAGGCTGGGGCCTAAGGAGATCAAAACCCTATATCAAGGTGTGCATCATTATTAGGCAGCTTCTTTTCCTCAGGTAAAATGGACCAAAAAAGAGATTTAAGTGACTCCGAAAAGTCAAAAAATGTAAAAAGTCTCTCAGAGGGATGCAGCACTCTTGAAATTGATTAGATATTTGGGCGTGATCACAGAATCAGCAAACATTTTGATGCAAATAGTCAACAGGGTCGCAAGAAATGTGTTAAGAAAAAAAGACGCAAATTAACTGCCAAAGATTTGAGAGGACTCAAACGTAAAGCTACCAGGAACCCAATATCCTCCAGTGCTGTCATATTCCAGAACTGCAACTTACCTGGAGTGCCCAGAAGTACAAGATGATCAGTGCTCAGAGATATGGCCAAGGTAAGGAAGGCTGAAATCTGACCACCACTGAACAAGACACAAGTTGAAACGTCAAGACTTGGCCAAGAAATATCTGAAGAGAGATTTTTCAAAGGTTTTATGGACTGATGGGATGAGAGTGACTCTTGACAGACCAGATGGATGGACCCGCGACTGGATCAGTAATGGGCACAGAGCTCCACTTCGAATCAGACACCAGCAAGGTGGAGGCGGGGTACTGGTATGGGCTGGTATTATTAAAGATGAGCTAGGTGGACCTTTTCGAGTTGAAGATGGACTTAAAATCAACTCCCAAATCCAATGCCAGTTTTGAGAAGACGATGATTTTGATGCAGAACAATGCTCCATTGCATGCAACAAAGTACTCCACTATGTGGCTCGCCAGTAAAGGCCTTAAAAACGAAAGAATAATGACGTGGCCTTCTTCTTCACCTGACCTAAACCCTGTTGAGAACTTGTGAGCCCTTCTTAAACGGGAAATTTACAGTGAAGGAAGAAAGTACACCTCTCTGAACAGTGTCTGGAACAGTGTCTGGAAGGCTTTGGTTACTGCAACACAAAAAGTTGATCATCAACAGATCAAGAAACTGAAAGACTCCATTAATGGAAAGCTTATGACTGTTAATGAAAAGAAGGGTGGCTATATTGGTCACAGATTTTTTTTTTTTAATTTCTACTATTTTTATTTGTAAATTGAGTTGTTTGTTTATCATTCTCACTTTAACAAGTGAAAATAAACAAGTGAGATGGAAAATTTTTCATTTTTAATTTAGTTGCATAATAATTCTGCACACTAATAGCTGCCCCCAATAATTGTGCACACATAGATATTCTCCTAAGGAAGTCAAAATCTCACTTTTACCCCCTTAAATATTCAGGTTTGAGGTTTATTAATATTTTGGATTGACTGAGAGCACTGCAGTTGTTGAAAAATAAAATTTATCCTCAAAAATACAACTTGCCTAATAATTGTGCACACAGTGTATAGAGTTTGTAATACAGAGTTTAGGGTTGTGGACGTACATGTTATTTGCTTATGAGACAGACAGACAGACAGATAGATACATACATACTTTATTAATCCTAGAGGGAAATTCAATATTGACTCCAAAGCACCTATACAGGATGATTTTTTTTTTCATAAATGACAACATTTTTTATATCACTTTAACATATTTTATCAACATTTCTGATCAAATATATAGTTTCAAATTGTAATGAACTAAAAAGATTTGTTAAAAATATATCTATATATAAACATCAAACAATTTTTCTACAGAGATAAAGAAAACATAAAACTCCAAAATCAGTTTTACGTATATGATCAAAACACATATGTTTGACATACATGGACAAAACACGTGATATCATCTATGAATTCAACATAAATGTATTTATTGTTATACTTGCGTCCATACATTTAACTTATATTATTAACATTTTGGGACAAAAATTTTAAACATCCCACACAGACATTTCAAATTTATGCCAACATTGATTTTTATGAAGGTCTTTTCATATATTTTCTAGACATCTACACTAACATATATCCTGTATGTGTTTTCCATAAATATAACACATATGACAACGTCCCTTCTCCTGATACATGGACCTGTTATACATGAGCAGACAGGTATGCTAAAGAAAAGTGGAAATGATGTGATAATGATCACAAAGAGCAGCCATACATGTTTGTACGCTCAGAGTGTCAACCCTCACACCAGTAGTGAAAACTAAGCTAGCATACATGACACAGTGGATAATGTGTACTGTAACAAGCCCCATGGCTGACACATAAAGATCTATCTGACTAAACTGGAAAACTAGCATGCTCAAAGTTTCACTGTTAACTCTGGAGGGTCAGTGTGGTCAGCTGATTCTTAAAGCCAATCAGAGACTATGCTTCAATCACCTGGACCTCTCCTATTTCTCTTTAATCACCTGGATCTCTCCTATTTCAGCGAGTTGAGATCTTTTCCCTCACACGTGAAACCAACATTAATCAGGAGAGAGGCCTCAGGTTTGTGTTTCTGGACAACCTTCAGTTGATCTCCACCAGAGCTGCTGCGTTGGTGTTGAAGTAAGGGAACATCTTCTCTGTAAAGGGCTGAGTGAACGTGTGGAGGTGTGTGTTGTTCTCATTGTTGTGGAAGGATAACATCCCTCTGTCATAGTCCAGCTCCACCCTGATGCAGCTCAGGTTCTTCACTGAGAGGAGAGCTCCTGTTTCAGCCTCTGGACCAGTTGGAGACCACGCTGTGTACTTGTTCCTGTGAAACAGGATCCTCCACAGCCCGGACTTTATGGCCACGTCTCCTTTTCTTCTGACTGATTCTGCTGCTACACCCAGAATCCAGGTGGGGCTGCCCCTGACCATGACGCACCAGCTGTGTGTCCCCGAGTTGAAGCCCTCAGAGCCCAGGACAGAGATGCAGGAATCAAACCTCTCTGGGTTGTTGGGGAGCCTCTGTCTCTCTCCACAGTAGAGGCTGGTCAGATCCTGAGACAGAACCAGGTCTGGATGAGCCGAGTTTGGATCCAGAGTCACAGCAGAGTGGGACACAATCTTTTTCATCTTTTTCCAGGTGTTTAAGCTCAGGTTGCTTAGGTGTTTGGCCTGGTCTATCAAAGCTCCTGAGACCAGCTCTGGATCAGCCTGCAGGGGGCGCTGCTGGACTCTACTCACTGCAGCATTGTAGTCATGCATGAAGGAGACATCGTCAGCTTTTATTCTGTCCTGGGTGACCCGGATTGTTTCTGAAAGAGCTGCTATCTCTCTGCTCAGACCCTCTGTCTTCTCCTTCATCACTTTACTCTTTCTCTTTGCTTCCTCCCTCAGAGCAGACAGCCTGGCCTCCTCTTCCTCCTTCAGAAACTGATGAAGCTTCCTGAACTGCTCCTGGATCTGCCTCTCGGTGTTTCTGGCCTGGACCTGAATGTATTCTGCTGTTTGGTCACAGTTTTCTTTCACCCCTTCAAAGGTCTTCAGCTTCTCTCTCACAGGTTTGAGGATTTTACGGAGCTCCACTTTGTGGTCCTGTGCCACCTCTCTGATGGTCCTGATTTTGTGTCCAGCATGAGCATCTGAGTGAAGACAGACGACACAAACCGGCTGCTGATGGGTCAGACAGAATAACTGCAGTTTCTCAGAGTGCAGACTGCAGACAGCGTCAGACTCGGCTGAAGGTCTCTGATCTCTGTGCTGTAAAAAATCCTCACACAGGTTCTTCAGAGCCAGGTTAAGAGGTGGATTGCTGGAAAAAGCTATTTCCTTACAGAGAGGACACTCGTGAATGAGCTTCTCCGTCCACCAGCCTCTCAGACAGTCCTTACAGAAGCTGTGACTGCAGGACAGGACAACAGGATTATTGAAGATGTCATGGCAGATAGGACAGGTGAGATCCTTTTCTGCTTGCAGAGCCATGTCCCCTCTGAGTAAAGAGTAAAAACACAGCCAGCAGACGGTCTGAAACAAAAGTGAAAGTGTTCCCAAACTGCAGCGTCACTGCTTTTATTCATACATAAAACATTTCAGTGAATCATAAACCTGTTTTTCTTGATTTTAGACGGGTGTAGCTGTCGTGGAGAGACTTCATCATGAGTTTACAGTCTTTTCATTTACCATCACTGGGCTCTAACACTGTTGGGAGTCAGAGCCCAGTCAGATGTCTTTGCACAGAAACAACACATGGACTGGTTATAAATGAAGACAAAATTGTTGGATTAATGTTCTTCATGGACACAGAAGTGTATTTTTGGTGTAACGTGATTAAAAATAATCAGCATGTCACCTGCCATCCCCTTTAAGAATCAGGAAAACCTGTAATGAGGGGGTGTTACTTTTTACACTACAGTTTTCAGCTTTGTGACCTCTCTTCTGAGCACGCAGCGAAACACACAGGACACTATAAAATATGCAGATGATGTGATTTAGTGTTAAATCTGCTAAATTATTCCAACAACATTAGAAACAAATTGTGTCTTTACAAATCAAGAGAAACTCTGATATAAACAAACTTTATTAATGACTGAGATCTGCAGAAAGAAAACATCAGACAGAAAAGTTCAGATCTGCTATTAACCGGATCTTTGCTCATATTTTTACTGCTGGACTGTATGACTGTATTTGACTGTGTGCATTAACTGTCAGATCTGCCTCAATCTGACAGGAAGAGATGTCAGGGGGGAAAGGAGCCTTGGTACGTTGGCTGGGAAGTGCAAATCAAAATTACAAAATCTGAAACACTTTTACAACCTTTGAATAAATTTTACAAAACATTTTTACACTTAAAACAAAACAATGTACCTAGCGAAACACTTACGAGGGAGAAAACAAATTTACAAAATGCATAACACTTTTACAGCTTTGAAACAAATTTACAAATTACAAAATTTCAACAGAAAGGGAATGTGCCAAATACCGAACATGACCCAGAAATGATTACCTGGAGGTCAGTCGGTTTGTCTTGACGAGAGGTGTTGAGGAAAGACACGCGGCATGAAATGTAAGGAGTTTTTATGAGTTTACAAATCGTTAATGGTGAGGGAATTATGCTTTGTCCGTTTTGTGGAACCAACTTAAGCCAAGTAACGTGATTTTGTGTGTGGACGGTCTCTGGACAACGTGGAGGAAACAGACGGACCAGATGTTATGGGTCATCGCGCAAATTGTCTCACCGAGCGCCACTCCTACAGTGTAATTGTGGGCATGATGGCAAGTTTACACAGCATTAACATCAGCTTGTGTACTTTCAAAAGTAAGCTAAATAATGCCGTACTGTATTGCAGAAAGAATTATTCCTCTGCAAATACAGTAATTTACACCATCAGATTGGAACTCGCGGACAAATTGACTGACCTCCAGGTAATCACTTTCGGGTCACGTTTGGTGTCTGGCACATTCCCTATCCGTTGAAATTCTGTAATTTGTAAATTTGTCTCAGGATTTGTGAAAGAGTTTTGCATTTTGGAAATTTGTTTTGTCCTTGGTAAAAGTGTTTTGCTAGTTACAATATTTTTTAATTGTAAAAATGCTTTGTAAGATATACATTTATTTAAAGTTTGTAAAAGTGTTTCAAATTTTGTAATTTTGGTTTGCACTTCTCAGCCACCGTACCTTGGTCAGGAGCCTACTATAGCGTTTTCTCTCAGTAAAAACTGATGAGTAAAAACTTTCTACAGAAACATCTCTCTGTATCTTCATTCCGGCAAGATGAACAGACATCTGTACAACTAAACTATGTAAAAAACACCTGAAACACAGAAGTGTGTGTGCAGTGATGGAAACCTGCTGCAAGATCTATCACTCTGCAGGGAGTGTTAGTATCACGCTGCAGAGGAAAGTAAAGTGACAAAGTAAACCACCCAATAACTGCACCTCTACATCCCATTAAAGATAAATATCTGTATGAGTTCAAACACGGACTTCTTGCATCCACACTAAGACCCTAATGGAGGGTAACTTTGATGATAGCTGAAGGTGGATGTCACTGAGACAAAATGAGATCTCTACAGAGACTGTCGTGTCTTCTTAGGGAAACACCAGGTAATGTTCACAATGTGAGAAACCCGGTGAGGCGGTGCAATCAGTCTCTAAAGTTTATACCAAACTGGTGAATCAGTTATTCCAGAAATTAATCTGTACCAAAATAAACTCTTTTATCAGTCAGATGATCCAGCGGTAACAACCAGCAATGCATAGACACCATCAGAACAACCTATTGATCCATCTGAGTTATCATTTGTCAGGATGGCGTCTGGTTCTGGGATTGGCTGCAGTGGCTGCTGGTCATTGATCCGCCCTTCTTTCTAATTGAATACACAGCCTGGTGTATTGATAACAAAGAGCTCTAATTTGATACAACAGTCAGGTATTGATCAGTGAATCTGATGGTGTTATTAAGCAGTGGGGCTATTGATAAATGGAATAAGAGGAGGGTATTGATATGTCATCCCTAGCCCGAACAAGGGGAGGTCAACTGATCAACAAGGACAGTTAGGACTGTGTGCTCTGTATGACAGTGCATGGTCCTGGAGCTGAACAATACCAACATTCAAACCCCCAAACTACCACCCTGACTCCTCTAAGGGCTGAGGCGCTCAGTCACATGTTCATTAAACAGATTTTGATGGTTTGACGGTGCATCCTTGTTACATCAAGAATGCTGGTCTTTGTGTGCTCATTTTAAAAAAGTGGTCCTCAGTAAAGCAAGAGATGCTGCATCCATGATTTCCAAAAGAATATCAAATGGACTCAGGTCCAGAGAAGTCTCTGGTGGTTCTGGATCCAGGATGCAGCATCTATGATTTCCAATTCTTCGTTGAATTATAACTGGACTCAGTAAGTCTAGTTTTGCTTTCCATAAGAATGTCAGATTTGGATGTCACAGACCTCAGGACAGTTCTCCTCTCCCCCTCAGTCCACCTTTAATGGACTCAGGTCTAGAGAAGTCTCTGGTGGTTCTGGATCCTGTTTCTATCTGGGCCCCTCTATCATGTTTTAGTTTGAACCTTATTAGTGATGAACTGTGGTCACAGTCAATGGTTTTTGAAGTGATTCTAAGTCCATGCTGTGATTTCCACTCCAGAGTCCTGCCTGTTGGATGGTAACTTCAGTTCCAAGGTAGACATGATGTTGTGGACAAGGAGAAGGTGTGGAGTTTTATAAGTTTTATAAATCCCAAAGTTTTCACTTTTATCTCCTATCTACCCCAAAACAAACAGTCTTTTGCCTGTCCATCAACCCCTCCAGCTGCCTCCATCTCTCTAAAACTTTAACTAAGACAAAAGTATTGATATTTTCATGAGAAGGAGACTCTAAGGCCGTGTTTCCTGCACAACAGGCCTCTACATGCGGTCAAACAGCGGGTCAAATCGATGGCAAAAGACTGATAACTCCTGTGTTACTTGACAGAACTACCCCAGAAAGTAAACTCACTTTTAATTGGAGGATGGAGTTTTCTGTGATGACCATGGACTGGTTGTTTGCTTCCTTCTTTGTTCTCACACATGACTTCTCCTCTCCTCACTCCTACCTCTCTCCTCGCCTGTAGTCGACCCGCTGCTCAGATAAACGCAGTCATTTCCATCCCTGACTGCTCAGCCGAATGATTCTCCTCTCACCCCTTTATGTTGAGCAGAAGCTGTTACTGTGGAAATAAATTACATCCCGGGTCTCATCAGCGTCCCTCTGGAAGAAGAAAGGAGCAGCAGTCTGCTTGAGAGGAGACGAGATGGATCCTGCAAGTCAATCAGTCTTTCAGTTTGCTGATTGATCTTTTAAGGTCTGGGAAGTGAAGCTATCCAGGAAACGCTGGTGCTTAAAGCCAGTCCTTGGAGTGTGTTGAAAGGAAATGTTAAAGACAGGTTTATGTTACAGTAAATATCAGAGAGATGCAACTGTGTGAAAGAGGGGCTGCAACTAGATGTTGCTAAGCTGCAAACAACATTTTCCTTTCCCTCAGTGCACATCAGGGAGAGCTGAAGCAATCGCATCCTTTATGCACGCTAAACGGCTGACAACAGGTTTAAAGGAGTATGTTACAATGCTGAACAGAGACGTCCCTGTGTGTGTCAGGTCTCTAAATATGGTCTCCTTAGTCCTCCTGCAAACCAGAGGAAGTTCAAGACCTGCCATTATCAGGGGCGTCCCATGACCCTTGGAGGAGAGAGGAGGAAAGTCGGAGGAGCAACAACAGAGGATACATAAGAGCGGCCTTCACTGAGCGACACACCCCCATGTAAAAGATCACTCACTGATTGGATGCTGCAGCTGTTCAGACTCACTAAACTGAAAAACAGTCAGTAAGAAGAGGCTTGACAAATCACAAACACGCACCAGTCATAAACAGTCAGTACGAGACCAAGCGGGAATAAAAAAAGTATGAAGAACTAAACATCCACCATGAGACCGCACTCATAATGTGTACCTGCACAGGTCAGCTGAGATCACTGCAGACACAATCATTATTGGTCATTATTTATCATGCTGTGGGCTCTCCTACAATAATAAGGACAAGCATGCTACTGTCACAGTGTTTTTGGCCGTTCATTTGAATGTTCTTGGCAGTGCTGTAGGGTTATTTAAACTACATTTACATGCAGAATCTATGAAGTATTCAAATAATTATCATTAAGTATTATTTTAAATAAAGTTTCTTGTTTTTCAAGCACCTTCCGACCCTGAACAAGTGATTTATTCTGACCGAAGAAGAAGAGAAAATGAAGGAAAATAAACTCTGATTGGGTACTTTTACCCATCTGCGGAGTGAGTGTTGTAGAGAGAGTTTCTGTGTGATGGACTTCTTCAAGGCTGTGATGAAGACAGGTGAAAGAAAAGGCTAACCTGGAGAACCAAAGGATAGGTGGAGGATGAGAGGGGATTTGACAGGCAGACAAAAAGCAACTGAGGAATGAGAGATGTGGTGTGGTGACTATGGGCTCTATTTTCGTGCCTCGCCGGAGACGTGCCGCAAGCGCGGCATCAGTCAGATCCGCCGCGCTGACAAGGCGTTCCCAAGCACATTTTGGTATTTTGGTGAGCCGCGCAGCCCGGCGTAAGTATCCCCCCTCCCTAACTCAGCTCCTCCCAGCAGCTTAAGTCGTAGCGAGGGAGGAGATAGGGCGGAGAGTGGGTTTAACACAGCCGAGACCTGTTTTCACCAATCACATAAGCTCCTCTCCTTGCCTTTAAATCCGCCACAGGCGAGGCGTATTACTATTTTCATGAAGTAGTCAAAGAGATCAAGAGATGTCTTAAGACAGTAATGCCACAAGATGGCGACAGAGGGCAGCTCCTCAACAAGTGTCGCTGTAAGCGCTGCATTGGGCGTCTCTCATATGAGCACAGATGGATTTGGTGTGTGTATTGTTGGACCCACTGGTAAGACAAACACCATTTTACACAAATAAAGACACTCACATAAAGTTGCATATATTCAAACCTCACGTGACAAAGGTGGGTTGAGCGCACAGATCACAACATAAACTCCAAAAATGGCATTAAAATTGGAACCATCTGTGCGTAAATGATGCATCGCGCTCCGTGGCCTGGCTCTTTCTTTCATAGATGTTGGCATATAAAATTAATTTGGCCCACAAAACTGAACATTATAATATCCGTGTATAGGCTTAAAGTAGATAACACATCTGAGCACTGAAACAAATCATCTGTTCAGCCGCAGCAGCAGCAAGACGGAGAGAGGACACGGAGACGTGTCCAGGTCGAGCTGTGCGAGAAATAAGAGGAAGAGGAAGAAAGAAAAGGAGGGAGACGAATTACATATCTTGTTAACTTCATCATGTGTGTTTATTTACTAGATATTTAATTTAATTTGATGCGGTTTCAGCTGTGTTGATTCGGTCAGGTTGTGTGTCCAAACGCGTGCCAAATGCGCTCATCAGATAAGATATAGATCAGAATATATCTATATAGATCTAAATATATGTGCTGACTCAGATTAATAGTTGTTGTTGATTATTTATTTCACTGAAATGTGCCTGACACTGTGGAAACCTGCCGGTGAGGCATCAGTGACGTATGTCGATACGCCGCAGGTCTACCAAAATACTACTAGACCAGCTGCGCTCTGCCTGCGCTGAAAGCTGACCAGGTTTGAATCGGCGAGCTTTCAGCGCACTTTACACGCCAGTGGCGAGCACGAAAATGTCACTGCGCCTGCTGATTCTGTCGACACCTCCCCCTGCCACGCCACCACGCCCAGCTTGGCGGATCTCGGCTCGCCTCCGTGCGGCTCAGTCCACGAAAATACCAAGCTGGCCGTATGCCGGGCTCCGCCAGACGAAAATACAACTGCGCGGGGTCCGCCACCCTCCGTCGCCTCACCGGCGCGCACGAAAATAGAGCCCTATGAGTTTCACCCTGCAACCCTGTGCTCCCTGGCAAATTTCCCCCTCACAGTCAAATAAATATTTTACTCTAACCATGTGGTGAAAAAGTGAGGATGGACAAAAAAAAAAAACTCCTGACAGTGAAGAGATGTCCACACTCTGAACATGTGAACCTGATACTGGCCCCTAAAAAGACTGCAAAATAAGACCTCACACACATCTGTCCAAGGAGGACATTTAAATCTGGGGTGAGAAACAGGTTACCGTGGTGACCAGTATCATTAAAAATATATCACATTAATGGGAAACATACAGAATATCTATGTGCTCCACTTTTAGATTTTATGTTAATTATATGTATATATATATATATATATATATATATATATATATATACTGTTTATATATATATATATATATATCTGCAGGTCCTGACAAAAACTGCATCTTTTGAGAAAATACCAGGAGATTAAAGAGGTAGTAAAATTACAATGTCACTCTAATTCAGACACAGATGGTGTTGAGTGTTTTTATGACTGAACTGAAAATGTGATCAAATAAAGAAAATTTTATGTAAATGTCACATAAAATTTGAAAATAAACTCATACTGTTCCTGTGGCAGGAAAGTCACATTATTATGGGGATAAAGTGTATGGTCTACTTTATTAATGATTGTTATCGGGTCTGTTCTGGGTCAGTTTGGTCCATTACATGCTTTTTGAAATGCTTGTGGATTTTTTAGTTGGAAACATGAGATGTGAGTGAGATGCTGGACAGAGAAAGTAAATGTTGATTTTACTCCGAGGTGTGGTGTGTACTTGGAATGAATTTGATGATAAAAAGTAAAACTTTCTGGCGTGGCAGCATATGTAATTGGGTCAGAACTTCAGAAGCCCTGAAGCAGAACAGCGGGAGCTTCAAAAACATGAAACTCAGCTTGTATGAGTTAGTTGGTCAGATAAACAGCCTCTTCTGAAACAGTCGGGGGTAAATAGCCTTAAACAGAGCTGGTGTGTCTGACGGTGAAGTGAGATGCTGCAGATTTGGATGGTTTCAGACGAGGGCTTCAGGCGGGTGGAGATGTTCTGTGTTTAACTTTTAAAGTGATGAGGATGTTGTGGTGTTTCTCCTCTTTGTGGACTCAGCTCTGCTTTAGGCTGCTGCAGGTTTATTCTGTTTGCAGAGGGAGCTGCAGAGCACGACCACACAGCAGCTGCAGATTAAACTTATAAGTCAGCCCCCAGACACAGAGAACAACATGACCACTTTGACAAATATCATCTTTGGTTTGAAGACTGCCTGGCTGGTTTTGGGTCAGAATGAGGAGGATCTAGTCCTCATCTTTCCTTGGTTAGTAGTCCAGAATCCCTGATGCAGGCTGTGCTCATGAAAATCTGTTTTGACTTTACTGAAGCAGAAAAAGATCAAAATCTGAAGCTGCACTGTTGGGAGTTTATACTATTTCATTTAAAAATCTAATCTCAATAAACATTTGAGTGTCTCACTCTTCACTTCCTGCTTTCTGCTAAATGTGTCTTCAAATTTGGTGGAAGAATACATGAAATTGCAGAGTTTTATATATATATATATATATATATATATATATATATATATATATATATATATATGAAACTTTATGCATGTTTTATTCTTTTAACGCTTATTTTTCATAGTCATTTTATAATAAGAGTACATCAACACTTTAAATGGAAAAATACTTTTTGAGTGTTGTAATGTAATGTATTACAAAGCAATTTCACCAAAAGCGGAATTTTTTCTCTATTTATCCACCGCAAGTGCATCCAGGGGGTGCTCTGTCATGTTTTACCCTTTCAAAAAACTATTGCTGGTTTATTTATGTGTCCTGCTCTTGTACACCTCTAATCATCGTGTCTCTTCTTCACCTTGATTTGTGGCAGATGATCCTCCTCTTTGCAGATCCAAAGGGAAAATGTCATTTATATTCCGTCAAAGAGCTTTTCCCAATGTCACTTGAGTTTGTTGATGTTTTTTTTAACCTCAGGCTTTTTTATGTGACAGGAGTTTTTAAAAGAGCTCTTCATAAGTATGGTTCTGAATAATAAAATAAGAAACATATTTAATTAAAGTGAACCTACTTCAAACCACACACTGATGCGTCCTGACACTCACACAGCTGCTGATGAAGCAAAAGTCTGAGTTCTGACGAGATCCTCATGACTGAGCTGTGACTCACTGTCTCACTGTCATGAGGAGGTCACTCAGAGTTGAACCTCTGGGCTCTTAAATGATGTTTTTTATAAATGGAGACAGGTTCCTCCAGAACCCTCAGGGTCCAGCATGGCGGGTCAGAAGCAGTTTGGTTCCATGGAGTTCTAAAGGTGAGCTGTTTTGCAGACATTGGGGTAGATGGAGATGGTGAGTAGCTATACAGATCTCTGTGGATTTTTCTGATTTCTGATATTAACCTATGAACCTGTGATCTCATTTTAGCCCCTTATTCCTGTCTTGGTGGAGAATAACACATACAGAAAAACAGAGCGTGAAAACTAACAGCATGCTGTCTCTGCAGTGAGTACAGAGCAGAATTACTGTAACCCCAATGAGGTTTGAGTCTTGGTAGTTTGTAAGAGCAGGATTACTAGCTTGCCGCTCATTGATGTATAAAGCATTACATGACTTTTACTTTGAAAGGACTCACAGGAATGCTACAAAGCCACAGCCTGAGCCTCTCTCTGCTTTTAAAACTCCAGAAAAGACGCTCAAAGTCTGTCTCTGAAGGAGCACAGTGAAAAGTTTCCCTTTGAGTGCACATGAGGTTTTTCTGCTCCAGGTGAGGACACTCCCGCATGAAAACCGGTCCAAAAATCTACACTTAAGTCCTCTTAAACTGCACTTCTAGACATTTCTTTCAGTTTGTTGTCTCTCCTCGCTCTCTCTACACATGATTAAAAGCTTCACAAACACTTAGTTCCCTCACATTTTGGTTTGCATTTTAAAGGTTATTATGCAAAATTTACCTTGATAATGAAAGAATAAAACTGAGACAGAGCGGCACAGAGGTCAGAGTTCAGCAACAGGTTGCAGCTGGGTCATGTAAACAGCTTAACGAATCAATTAAATCAAACAAAAACTCATTATCACTGTAGCAATCAAGACAACCCTGGGTGTGAAACCCACACATTCCTCAGAGGAAAGTTTCCTTATCTGGTCCCAGGAAACAGGATATAAATCTTTCCAGACTCATTTACACTTTCAGGTTAAATAAGTGACCCAACCGGAGGTTGACTAAACCTCCGACTCTTCACGATTGGTCAATTCGGAGAACAGAGACAGAGTTTTTATTACCTTTCAAACTGACTCCATTTGCTGACCATCTAAATAAACATTAACCTCAACCCAGATCTCCCATTTGAGATTTAGCGTCTTAAAGTGTG